AACATAACCAGAACTTTCCCACCTCTATACCCCTGCTCACAGTTAAGAGCATGTTCTACACCAGTGATTCCCAAAGTGTGGTCCCCAGACTACCGGCATCAGCGTTACTGGGGAACTTAGAAATGCAAATTATCAGCCACCCCAGAGCTACTGAATCAGAAACTCTAGGGGTATGACCCAGAAATCTGTGTTTTAATAGGCCTTCCATGTCATTCTGATACAGCAAAGTTTGAGAACACTATTCTGTATTACTAAACCATCCTGCTCTAACTTGAATCCCCTCTGGGCCACTCACTAATCCACTAACTGGGACCTTGGACAACTCCCTTACTTCTCTGAGCTTCAGCTTCCTTGTGTGTAAAATAGGAACAATAATAGTGCCTGCCTCGCAGGGTTGCTGTAAGAATTAAATGAGATAATCCATTAAAAGTGCTTAGCTTAGTACCTAAAATGTGGTCAATAAAGATTAGATATTTTTATCATCTTGTCATTATTCTGTATTATGTCCCTATTCCTGGTCCCCCCTCTTACACTCCTGAGTGATATAATCCCCTGTGCTGAGTGTCCCCAACTAAAATGTCTGCCTCCTCTGAAAAGTCTTTCCTGATCTCTTTCCTTTAAGCCCATGTGGCTTGTATCTGTCCAAATTCTCAGTGCAGTGCCCAGGTTCTGCCTGCCTGTGTGTGCCCTGCAGCATTCTACTCCAGTTCCTGGCATCTGAGGAGCTACTTGGGCACTCTACAATAAATGTGAGTCTGAAATGCCATTTCCCAAGACCAGTTTCTGCCTACGGGCTTCCTTCCTCTGGTTCTCGCTGTCCCTCGCCACACTCTGTCTAAATTGAAATGCTCTCCAGCCTTCTGTGTCTTTCATGGTCTTGAGGAGAATATGATCAGAAGAACTCATGCTGAGTTATCTGGAAATTTTATTTTTTGCAGCTTGTCATTGTTATTTCCCATCCTTGTTACATAATTCCCCTTGAATAAGTATCTACCATGGAAGCATTTTGTTGAATCTTCTCTGAAGCCTTGCAAGGTTGAGATTACAGTCTGCATGCTGTAGGTGAGGGAACTGAGGCCCCAGGTCTACAGCTTCTACATGGTAACATTTGGTAGTGACCCAAAGCATCTAGCTGCAGAGTACATTCTACTACCCAAGGCTGCCCATTGGTGACAGAAGCAGTTTCAGGTTTTCAAAGCTGTAAACTCTGAATTCCTGGGCGTTGCCTGAGGCTATCTATTCATGGCCCTTCTGCTGAAATAGCCTAAATTTGACCTTCCTTACTTGCTTTTCAGTTTCAGATCTGTGCGGCTACTAAAGAACGACCCAGTTAACTTCCAGAAGTTCCCCTACACTAATGAGGATGAGGCCTGGAAGACCTACCTGGAAAACCCCTTGACAGCCGCCACGAAGGCCATGATGAGAGTCAACGGAGATGATGACGGCGTTGCGGCCCTGAGCTTCCTCTACGATTACTACATGGTATGTTTGCCATCTCTGGGCATGCCCTGCTCTAACTGAATGTGAGTCTTTGCTTTCAGGCCTCATGGCTCACCAGCCCACCATGACCACCCCTAGCCCCTCACTGTGTTCTTTCTCACCTCTGGGTCTTTGAACATGCAGTTCCCTCTGCCTGGCACACCCCCACCCTTGTTTTTCCCCTGGATAAACCCTAGTCTCAACTTTGGGTCTTAGCTTCAATGTCACTTCATTCATTCGCTGGAGGTGGAGGAGGCTTTCTGGGGTCTTCCATTCTGTGCCTCCTCTGGGCACCCTTAGCAGCCATCATTATCCTTGATGCTCTTTAGAAACTTGCTATTTGTGCATTTATTCCTCCATTTCCCCCATGAGACTGAGCTCCTGGAGGACAGGAACCATGTCATGATTATCACTGAGTCCCTAGCACCCAGTACTGCCTGCCACACAGCACCCAATACGTATTGAATGGATCAGTGCCTTGGCCACACACACTCCCATCACAGCAATACCCCCAACCTACCATCTTCTTTCTGCCCCTGTCCTTTAGGTCATCCCAGATGCCCTGTCATCCCCACCTGCCTGTTCCAGCCCCACCACCTCGAATATACCTTCTGCTCTTGAATCGATTCCCTGCCTTCAGGGACCTTCCCAAGGCCCACCTTCTCTTGGAAGCCTTTCTGCCACATCATCTCTCCCTCTCCCGAGTGTCTCACTGTTATTCATACCCTTGCTGCCTTTATATGCAATGTAGCACCTGGGACAGACCATCTTTTATTGTTCTCTAATTGTTTCCAGGACGCCGGCCTTGACTTTGGGAGACTGTAAGTTCCTGAGAACGGGAATTAGGCCCTCTCGTGTATGATAAGTGGGCTTAAACCAGTCAGCAACCACAAGTACATAACACAGATGACATCATCCCTCTTCCAGTGCCTGTGCCAGACATTGCTAATGGGTTACAACATGTATTCTCACTGAGGGTTTATGAGGCCACAGAATCTTTTTCAACCTGGAACTACAGGCAGCCCCTACTCATCTGCCTGAATTGTCATATGACAGCAAACTTTCTTGCTACCACTGCACTAGGTGATTGCTCTAAGAGACTTTCCTAGATTTAAGGGTGGAGGACATGAATAGCTAATTGTTTTGATAACTGAATCTGAACTTGAAGATTTAAAGCCACGTTGTAAATAAGCCCTCAAATTCACTGACTCAAGAAGTAGTTTATCTAATTACTACAAGAAGGAAGGTAAACTCTGTAAATTCAGAGGCCAAGAGGGTAAGTGGTCTCAGATACAAGAAAGCCCCAAATTATCTCTCTGACTTTGGTTCTCATCTTGGAGTGGTATGGTTACCTACCTTACTTTCTCCCCAGCAGGTCGATAATGTCCTCACAGCATTTGGCCCAGGCTGATGGAAAAGAAATTTGAATTGGCTGCCTCAGTTTGGGGACATGATAGGAACCAGAATTCTAGGTTTAATTCTGGGCTTAAACTCCAGCCTGGGATTTACAGCTTGAGGTTGGACTACAAAATAGAATCCAGCACTATGGCAAGAGGCCATTCCCAGGGCCAGAATGGTGGGGACAGGCTCTGAAGGTGACACCTGTAATGGTTTATCGAAATGCAGTGTACCGCTGGGATAACACCTGCGCCACTCTCCCCATCCCAGAGCACTCTGGATTCAGAGCAGCCCCATGGAGAGTAAGGACATGGTCTAGTGGTATGGGAAGAGCACCAAGTTGGGAGTTCAAGACCTATTTGTACCACAAACTGGCAGTGGGCAATATAGTGGCTTTGGGCAATATAGTTCTAAAGGTGACCACTTCCCATTTCTTACTGAATGCTGGGCACTGTATCAGGTGCCTTTCCTCATGCTCTCTCAAGGGGTGTGATAAAGAACCCAGGCATTAGAGTTACGAGGCTGTGTCGGAGACCTTGTTCTGGCTTTATTAGCCTTAGGAAGAAGTGACCTGGATGCTCTAAAACAAAGCACTATTATAATTATAGTCTTGAAAGATAACTCTTATATGGTGCTCTCCATGTGCCAGGTGCTGGTCTAGGCACTCACAATAGTCCCTGGGGTTGGCATTACTATCATTATTCCTGTTTTACAGATGAGGACAGTGAGTTACAGAAAGGTTAAGGGATTTGCCCAAGGTCACACAGCCAGTATGTGGCAGATCTAGGAACTGAAACCTGGATTCAGAGCCCATGCTCCTAATCACTAGGATGACAGAGCCTCTGTGGGCTTCATTTTCCTCATCCACATAATGGGAATAACAGTAGTAGACATCACAGAGTGGTTGTAGGGACTGAATTAGAGGACACATAGAAGACACCTAGCACAGGGCCTAGTGCCTAGGAATTACTTTATTAAAAAACAGCGAGCATTATTTTTATTAATAAATTTGCACAATCCCCTTGAAGTAGCTGTTGTAAGCCCCTGCTTGGCATATGCAGAAACTGAAATCTGAGAGAAGTGCAGTCATTTATCCTGAGTCACACAGCACTTTTAAGTGGTAAAGCTAGAACTTAAGCCAGGCTTAACCTGACTCCAAATTCTATGATTCCTAACTGCTAATCTTGGGGTACTTCTTCCCACTCTCTAACTTGGGACTCAGACTAAATGATGGCCTGCCAAATCAAAGGACTGGTGGGTTTTCTCCCAGTGACCAAGGTAACTCCTCTGCCTGGCTAAGTCCTCTGGAGTGGGTTGAGGCTCCTAATAGCCAGATCTTACCCAAGAACCATGCAGAAATCCTTCCTTCCTCTCCTCCCAGGGCCCCAAGGAGAAGCGGATACTGTCCTCTAGCACTGGGGGCCGGAACGACCAAGGAAAGAGGTAAGGCTCGCCCACACCACCATCTCTGCCTTTTGCCCTTCCCCACCCCCACCGCCACCTCGGGCCTCCTACCCACTGGGCCCACAGTACTCTTAGAGGCCCATTAAAGTATTTTAATCTATTTTAAAATGAGAAGAAAATAGTTAATATAATCCAGCCTGGATTATATTTGTATTTATATCAATGCAATTGTAAAAGGTTTTTAAAAATACTTTTTTATGGAGAAGGGGCCTATCAAGGCAAAATAGAACACACACACACACACACACACGTACACCCCACACACACAAATACACACACCTTAGATGCCTGCAGGCCATGTGGGCTGGAGTTTACTGAAAACAAACTTCAAAGCCATACTGGTGGAAAAGCCCTGAAGGAAGCTTTTCTATCCCAGCTTCACAAACCTCTTCCCTGCAGCCTTAAAGGGAGGGGACTTTTGGGTTCCTGTGCTGCTTTCCCCGACTCTTTTGGGTCTCTGCCTGGCATTAGTGCCTCAGGGCACTGATGTTCCTTTTCTTGTAGAAAGCAGCCCAGGCCCATGCTCATGGCCAGATGGGCACTGGAAAAACCCTGCCCCCCTTTCTCCACTCCCCCCGCCCCCACCTCCCCATGCAGGGCCTCTGCTGGGAAACCTTTTGTACTCTCTGCCTTCCAGAATATCCAAACTGCTAGGGCAGGCATTGTGGTTCTTGTGGCGGCTCGGAGCCCCTCCACTGCTAGAAACAGTGGGTTTTGGTGATAGGACTTTTCTCAAAACTAACTTTAAAAAATGTTTTCAGTTTTTCCAATTATAAAATAATACCTGTTTGTAAAATACTCAAACTCTATCAAAATGTATAAAGTAAAGAGTTTCTTATAAACCTACTCCCCTGCTTCCCTTAATAGTTTGGGGTATATTCTTCCAGACCTTTTTCTCAACATCTGTTAACTTTACTCACGAATACCTACTCTTCCTCCCACCGTGGATGACTCAATACAGTTGTTTTAAAGTGGGGACATTTGACTCTGGATAAGAAATAAATAATTAAACTTTCAGTTTTTTAAATTACCAAGTACTGTAATGGTTAAAGGAGACATTTCATCCCAAACCCTGAGCCTTTACTTGGTTCCATTCTTGACACCCTCCTCCCTGCTCATCCTGTGACAAAATGGCCTGCTGCAGTATCTTGCTTCATGCATGTTGGGAAGACCTGACATTCCATTGGATTAAAAAAGGTCAGTGTGTCAGCATGATAGTCAACCCCAAGTCCAGCCAAGCTCCCTCTCCCACCCCTCAGAGAGAAGAGACGCACCCACTGATCCTCTTCTCTCTCCCCAGGTACTACCATGGCATGGAATATGAGACGGACCTCGCCCCCCTTGAAAGTCCCACACACCTCATGAAATTCTTGACAGAGAGCGTGTCTGGAACCCCAGAGTACCCAGATGTGCTCAAGAAGAATAACCTAATGAGCTTGGAGGGGGTTGTGCCCACCCCAGGCAAGGCAGCCCTCCTCCCGCCAGGCCCCAGCAAGCTGGAAGCTGGCTCTGTGGACAGCTATCTGCTTCCCACCAATGATGTGTATGATAACGGCTCCCTCAACTCCTTGTTTGAGAGCATTCATGCAGTGCCTCCCACACAGCGCTGGCAGCCTGACAGCACCTTCAAAGATGACCCACAGGAGGTGAGGGCCCACCCACATACCCCTCACAGCATCCTTGGATATGTGCATATGTGAACAGAAAGAGAGAAGACAGTAAGGAGGTCAGAGCTTTGGAGAAAGAGTCCTTGAGCTGAGGCAGGGCTGCCATGTACTGTTGTCTAGGATGTGTACTGTACAACCATCACCATTGTATGCAGTGGCCCTGGGCTGAACTTCCAGCAGCCTGAGTTTGGTCATTTATTTTCTCTGGATTGTGTTTCTCTGCAGTCACTGCTCTTCCCAGATATCCTGAAAACGTCCCCAGAACCCACGTGTCCAGAGGACTATCTGAGCCCCAAAAGGTAACTCAGCCCCTCTGTACCCTTGGCCACCTGGGCAGTGGCCAAGACAGAGCCTCACACTGTCCCCAGAGCAAGCATCATCAGTGAATGAAAAGAGGGGAGTGAAGGCACACAAAAGGAGGGAGAACGATTTTCACATCCATCCCTTTCCTGGGCTGTGACGGGGAGCTCAGAGTTCAGCACCTAGTTAGAAAACCAAGGTTCTGTTGTCCTTAGTCTTCCCTATAAGTTTGTCACCTCTTGGGGTCTCTGGTTTCCATTTTTCATCATTCAGCAGGATTGTGTCTCAACAAGGCCATTAAATAGAAACCCTAATAATGTGGAAACTGAGGCCCAGGGAAATAGAGTGATTTACTGAGGTCACACAGCAAGCCCATTGCAGAGCCCAGGCTTCCTGCTGCAGTGCTTTCTGGGATACTCCTGCCTGGGAGCCCAGCCTCACTATCCTGTCCCTTCTCCCCGCAGTGACTTTGAGTACACTCTGGGCTCCCCCAAAGCCATCCACATCAAATCGGGCGAGTCGCCCATGGCTTACCTCAACAAGGGCCAGTTCTACCCTGTCACCCTGCGGACCCCAGCAGGTGGCAAAGGCCTTGCCTTGTCCTCCAACAAAGTCAAGGTACGTTGGCCCTGGAACCACTTGGGAAGTAGGTGGGGTTGTCAGGTCAGCCCTGCTGGCTGGGGGCCCCGGGGAGAGAGTGCTGTTAGATAACTGTGCATTGCCATGGAGTGGTGGAAACTAAGCAGAAGGCCGGGGCCACTTGACCCAGGCTCTGGCAAGGGATGGGGCTGCCTGGGCCTCTCCTGAGGCTGGGGGTCACAGTGACTGCTGTGTTTGCAGAGTGTGGTGATGGTTGTCTTCGACAATGAGAAGGTCCCAGTGGAGCAGCTGCGGTTCTGGAAGCACTGGCATTCCCGGCAACCCACTGCCAAGCAGCGGGTGATCGACGTGGGTGAGAGCCTGCCCAAGCCCTCCATCCCAGTTTCTCTTTCTCTTTCTCTCTCTCTCTCACACACACACACACACACACATGCATACGCACACGTACACACAGACACACACACGCACACGCAGACACACACACACACACCAGTCAGGCCTTTCTTGCTGTGCCCCTTTTCCCCAGCCTCCTCTGGCCTCTGTAGGACTTATTTTTGACTCCAGCCACCTGCCTGGTCCCTGTCTCCCTGTCTCCAGGTCGTACCACTGTGGGGTTTGCAGGGATTTGCATCTGTTGGCTGGAAGTAGTGACCTCTTTTCTGTGTTGCTTTGGGATAAACAGGGCCCTGGGGACCCTAGCAGTGTCAGATAAATAGATCCCTGGGATGCTGGCGTGCTTGTTCCCACCAGGGGGCTTGGCCAATTGAGACACAAATGCATAAGATAACAGTGCAGGCAGCAGGTGGTTTGGAAGGCTTGAAACAGTGCAGGGGCAGTTCTGCTTTGGGAGCTGGGACCTTTGGGCTTTGTCAGCAGGTAAGGGGTGGGGTAAGGCCAGGTCCTTGTCCCAGGCCCTGAGATGGGTGGGAGGCACAGCCCATCTTCAGGTCTCCAGGTTCATCACTCTCTTCCTAGCCTTGTGACCTGTGTCAGCTCCCTTTCCCTAGCCTCAGTTTCTTCAAGTGTCAATTGGAAAACACCAGCTGCCCTGCGTGCCGACAGTGGTGTTTCTGCCTTGGAGCCAGGTGTCCTGGAGAACATGATACAGATAGTGACGACTCAGTGACTTATCTGACAGGCCAGGAAGCAAAGCGGTTGGAAGCCTGGGCTCAGGAGCCAGACAAAGCTGAGCTCCAGTCCTTGCTCTACGTTTTACTAGCTCTGTGACCCTGGGCAAATGACCAAACTTCTTGGAGCTTTATTTTCCTCATGTTGTTGTGAGGATTAACTGCAGGCTTGCCGTATTGTACGTGTTCAATAAACGACAGTAGAACTACCACTTACTTAATATTATGCAGCATTAGTAGTCCTGGTGCTGCTACTTTTACTGCGGCTTTTGCTACCACTGTTACTATGATGATTACTTCTACTACTTCTTTATCTAGGAAATCTCTTAAATCACAATCCCAGTGAAAAATATAAGCTCCATCCAAAAACGATGAAGGAATCCCTCTGGGGTTTGGGCAAATCTGCTTCTCAGGCTGGACCTCAGTTTTTCCATCTGTAGCCTGGGGCACAATAACCAGTTTCCTCCCTGGACTGAAGCAGGGTTCTTGAGGGAGAGGATATAAATCTCTGCCAAGAATGAGGCCCAGCCTCTAAATAATCCCTCCGCATGGTGCCCCCAGATCCCTTCCTTCCTGACTCCCTTCTGATCTCCTGTGGTTTCAGCTGACTGCAAAGAAAACTTCAACACTGTGCAACACATTGAAGAGGTGGCCTATAACGCATTGTCCTTTGTGTGGAATGTCAATGAGGAGGCCAAGGTCAGTGCTGGGGGCATGGCCAGGATGGGACTGGGCCACCAGGAAGTCCCCATCCTGGGAAAAGGGCTTGCCTGAACCTAGGATTGTGGTAGCTGCTCCAGTGAGGGCCTCAGTGGAGGAGGCAGGGACAGAGAAGCACAGGATGTGAAGCCAGAGAGGCTGGGCCCGCACCCCAGCTCTGTGACCCTGGACCAGCGCCTTGGCTGGAAATGGGGTGTAACCATAGCACCACTGACAGGTTGGCATGAGGATCAGATGAGGTAAATAAAAGGTAGAGTACAGCCTGGCACATAAGTGGTAGTTGTGTTTAACCCAGTCCACCCTTTTACCAGATAGGAAAACTAAGCCTTGTGCAAGGCCACACAGCAAGCCAGGTTCCCTGACTTGCAAGCCCATGCAGAGTGTTGCAGGAGAGGTGCTTTGGAGTCTGGTAGATGAGGGCTGAAATCCGTTACCTCTCTTCTTGAGCCCATAGGAAGGGATGAATAATCTGCCTCCTAGGGTTATGGTGAAAATTCCATGAGCTCACGCATGGCAAAGAGATGGGCACTGTGCCAGGCCTGTTGGAGAGGCCTAAGAAATGGAGCCTCTGGTGATTTTTTTCTTTTTTGTACCAGTGATTAAACCATTTAGTGCTTGAGACCAGCCTTGAACTCTCCTGTGCTTCAGGGTCCCGTCCCTCTGTGTCTTGGTTTTCTGTTTGGACAAGTGGCTTCATGGAAAGGGCATGAGTCTGAAAGCTGGGAGCTGGGTGACCTTGGGCCTGTACCTTCACCTGCCTGGGCCAGGCTTACCCCATCAGACCAAGGTTGGGAGTGCCTCTTGGCAAGGGCATTTCTGGCCTGGACAAGCTGCAGAGCTAATCCCTGTCCATGCCTTGCCTCATGGGCCGTCCAGGCTGCCTGTAGAAATGGAGGTAAAGGCGCTCTGAAAACAACAGAGAGAGACACAAAGGCGAGGGATTATTATTATTCAAACAGACACCAGGAGTTGGAGGAGGAGCTGGGGCTTCCAGTTCAGGGAGGAGGGGAAAGAGTTTCGTGGGAAGGGAGAGGTGGGTTTCGGTGGGGATTTTCTCACAGCCTCTTAAGCCCCCAGGCCCGGGTCTTTCTCAGGTGTGAGCTGGGCGGGGGCTGCATTAGGGCTGAGCTGGCTGAGGGGGAGGTATGTCTGGCATGCACCTGGAAGCCTGGCCCCCACAGCCAGGGAAGGAAGAGGGTCTGCTCAGGTACCACACCCCACCCCTACCTGTTCAGGTCAGGGTCATTTCCAAGGGAAGTGTCCCAGCAAACAAGGGCTAGCCCAGAGTTGGGTCTGGCCCTGGTGCCCCATAGAGGAGTCAGCAGGTAGGCAGCCACTCAGTGAGCTGGCCAAAGGCTGCTGTCAGTCAGACATAGGCTTCAGACTGGGCTCCAGCTGTCCTGCTCAGCAACAGCTACAGAGTATCCAAAGCCACTCACGCTGTGCTCAGTTACCCTCTCAGCCGCAGGGGGGTGGGTTTCATTGTCTCCATTTTGCAGAGAAGGAAACTGAGGCTCCGTGAGGTTAAAGGACTTGTCCAAAGCCACATGGCTTGACTAGCAGAGCCCAGCTTCCCGCCCCAGGTCTGGGTGGCCCCCCGTCCAGGCTCATTCCGCTCTGCCACCCTGCCCTACTCCCTGTGGACATTAGCAAGTCACATCCCTGCTGAGAGCTGCCGTTTCCTCTGCTGTAAAATGGGGGTGACTCGTTCAGCGACAGCTAGAGCTGGTGGTTGGGGTGCAAAGGTGCAATGTCTCACCCTCTGTGGCCTGGGGCCAGCAGGAAAACGGTCTTCTGAAGCCGGGGGGAAGGGAATTTGGCCCTTCTCTACCTCCTTGCTCTGAGTTACAGAAAAACAAGCTCCTAAAGGACCCTTAAGCTCCCTCCTGGGGCCTTGATCATTTGGGCTGCCATTGGGAATCTAGTGGGAACTGCATTGTCCACTGGTCAAGACCTGGGCTCAAACTCTGGCTCTCTTACCCGCTCCCTGCATTGCCTTGGGACAGCTGCCATGCCTCTCTGAGCATCAGTTTCCCCATCAGTAAAAGAGAGGTGGTGGTGATGCTTGCCTTCCAGGGCGTTGGGAGGTAAAGAGTGCCCACCAGGCACACAGTTGCTGTTACACAGGGTTGTATGGAACACCAGGGCTGGTGACTTGGGGCGGCTGTTTATCTAGCTCCCCCATCTGTCCGCAGGTGTTCATCGGCATCAACTGCCTCAGTACAGACTTCTCCTCGCAGAAGGGGGTGAAGGGTGTCCCCCTGAACCTGCAGATTGACACCTATGACTGTGGCTCAGGCACTGAGCGCCTGGTACACCGTGCTGTCTGCCAGATCAAGATCTTTTGTGACAAGGTGCTTGGGTGTGGACCTCCTGCTGGGCTCTGGGAGGGAGGGGGGGGTCAGCCCCCACCCGTGCATCCTCCCCAGCTTTCTGGGAGTGTCTGTCTCTCTGTTTCTTGCTCTCTGAATGTCTCTCTCTGTCTTTGTGTGCTTGTCATTTGTCTGTCGTGGTCTCTGTATATTTTCCTCTGCCTCTGCATTTCTGTCTTTCAGCTCTCTCTTTCTGAAGATCTCTTTCTGAATCTCCATAAATAGCTCTCTATGTTTTTCTCTCTGTGTCTGTCTTTTTCATGTTTTTCTTTCTTCTTATCTCTCTCTGACTCTATTTCTCTTTTCTGTTTCTCTCTCTCATGGCTACACTGACCTCAGACAGGGCTGGGCTGAGCTGCGCTGAGTGCTGGCAACTCCCCATTTCCTGGTCTCACTCTGGGAAGAAAGCAGCATCGGAAGGCTGGCCCAAGACCCTTGGTGACCCCTTTCCCCTTCTGCCCTGCAGGGAGCAGAAAGGAAGATGCGGGATGACGAGCGGAAGCAGTTTCGGAGGAAGGTCAAGTGCCCCGACTCCAGCACCAGTGGTCAGTGGGGCTGGGTCAGGGACTGGGCTGGGCTGGGCTGGGCTGGGGTGGAAGGGATAGGAGCCTAGAGGGCAGAGGTTGGGGGCATGAGTGGAGGGACCTCAAGGCACAGTGTCTTCTTTTCCCCATCAGGCATCAAGGGCTCCCTGCTATCCGGCTTTAGGGGCAATGAGACCACCTACCTGCGGCCTGAGACAGACCTGGAGACCCCACCGGTGCTGTTCATCCCCAATGTGCACTTCTCCAGCCTGCAGCGCCCTGGAGGGGTGAGGGTCTGGGGCAGAGAGGGGGTCTTGGCCCTTAGGAGGTGCTGTCTTAGCGCAGACCAGTGGGGAAGCAACCTGCCACTCAGCTGGTACAGGCCAATTTAGATGTTGATAGGTCCTGATATTTTTTATATCAAGATGAAAATTCTAAGAGACTAAAAGCATGTATATGTGGTCATATAACTTTAGTTACCTTTTCTACTGAAGAGAAGAATGTTAATGAAGAAATGGACTTCATACACCTTGAAATCTTCATGCTTAGAGCACACACAGAGGAGGTTCCTAATAACTGAGCCCCAGGATAGACTGTAGCCACATCAAAGCTGGGCTGATAATAGTGGTCACAGCGCTCACTCTACACCAGGTGCTGCTCTGACTGCTTTCCGTGCGTTACCTATGCATTATCTCCTTTAACTCACTGCGTCCTATGACGTTGATTGTATTATTCTCCCTGGAGTCGTGAGGTGGAAATTGAAGCATCGAGACCAAAATTACACAGTACATGGCAAAACCAGGATTGGGACCCAGGCAGCCTGGCTTCAGAAGCAGTGCCCGTTACCACCAGTTACACCACCTCTCAAGACGGGGAGCCAGCAAACACCTTGACCATGCCAGCTATGCGGGCACAGCCCTTTGCTGCATTGCCCCATCTCCCCTAACCACTGTCCTTTGAAGTAGAGACTATGATCTCCATTTTCCAGACATCACACACACACAAAAAAAACCCAAAAACAGCGGCAGAATCAAGATCCCAGAGCCTGTCTGCTAGTTTGCTTCCATGTTAAATAATTTGACTATTTCCTCCCATTGAGCTCCCCACCATTTAGTGGGAATGTCTGCAGAAATGGCCCTTGGTGTACAGATGTGTTCAGTACATTGACTTCAACAGTAAGATAGATTATGGAGCTAAAAGAGCAGCCAGTACTGATTGTGGCCTTGGCACACAGTTAAAGCCCTCTGTGTGTGCCACACCCCCTTCACTGCCCTGGCGTAGTTCTGTGGTTCCCATAACACAGGAGGCTGCATTAACCCACTCTCTCTCCCCAGCCAGAGGCCTCAAGTAGGGAGGTGACCACTTGAGATTAAGGCACCCCCTTGGCCAGGTTGACAGCTCTTCTGTGAGAGGAAGAAGTAGGGGAACCTGTCTTTGTACCTGTGAGCCCGAGAGAGAGGACCAGGGGAGTGGAAAGAGCAGAAAGCCCAAGTCTGGATCCCAGTTCTGCCTTCTGTGGTGTGATGCCCTGGGAGGCTCTGCCCTCCTGGGGCCTGGGTGTCTCACCTCGTAGGGCTTATGATGGCTGCACCAGATAGCACAGTGCCCCACACACATGAGGGTTCGAAAAGAATGCCCCTTCCCCTCCTTTTCCCTCAGCTCCAATTACCTAGTTATCACCTGTAGGAGGGTCTGCAGTCCCAGCCCTTCTGGTTATCCTGGGGCTCAGACGGGACTCGTTGATTCTGCCACCATTTCCTTAGCACCTCATATGTTCACTGAGTCCGTGACTCATCCAACTTGGGTTTGGTGCTTCCTTTCAACTCCAAATCTCAGTGCACTTAAGAGGGCTTATCTGAGCAGAGTGAGCTGAAAAAGCATTAAAGCTGCATCCCCCACCTTCCCCCCACAAAGATTCTTCATCTCAGAAGGCCTCCAACAGCTGAGGGTTCCTTGCATCTTCCTGCGTGTGATGGAAAATTTCTTTTCTTTTCATTGCAGGCAGTGCTCTCAGCAGGACACAGCAGCTCCAACAGGTACGGGGAGAAGCAGCCAAGGGCCTCACCTCCCTGCTGGTCCCCCTTTTACTGCTCATATGCTCCTAGCCTGCCCTTCCCTTTGCTGCCCACCCCCCTCCCCGAGCCAGAGGTCAGGCCCAGAGGAAGCAGCCAGGAGACTCTATCCCCAACCCCCAAGCCAGATTCATGTTCCTTTCCCACTGAAACTGCCTGAGTTTTTATGGGTTTGTTTAATGTAAGAAGTTGGCGAATCTCTGGCGAGACACCTGCTTGTAAACTAGGAAAGAAAAAGCCTCTGAGATGGTGGTGCAGATTCGAGAGTAAGGAGGGGACGCTGTGCCTGAGGACTTAGGGGAATCCACCCCCACATGCCCTCCCCCCAGCACACACCCACCAGACCCCAAGAGGCCAAGGGAGGGGCTGGGCCCCTGGGCCCTTCAGCTCAGGAAGGGCCTCCACACCCCTCACCTCTTTCAGCCTCAGCTAGAGATCTACCAGAGGAGGAAAATGGCCTCGTGAGGATGAGGCAGGTATGAGAGGTGGCATGGAAATAGAATCTTTGTAAAGGGGAAAGCATTTATGAAGATCATTTGTTGTTGATACCAGGCTCTTCCTTATAAGCAAGAAATACTTTTCATAAGGTGCTTTCACACCGCATTATGTCACTTATCACCTCACAACAGCCCCAGTGAGTTAGGCAAGCAGGAGTTACCACTCTGCCTTGTAGAAGAGGAACATGAAGCCCAGAGAAGTGAAGTGGCCTGCCCAAGGTCACACAGCTATTGTGATGCAGAGGCAGGCCTGGACCTAAGTCTGCCTTGCTCCACAACCCATGGCCCTTCCTCTCCCACTCATGCCTAACTTGATTCTTTCAAAAAAGAATAATGTTGATGATGAACCAATAGGCTGTATTTATTGAAGCCCTACTGCGTGTCACACACTGTTCTAAAAGCAGCGTGCAGTATCTCCTTCAGCCTCACAACTTTACGAAGTATCATGATTATTACCATTGTGACCCCGCTGTACACGGGGAGACTGAGAGGCTATCACCCAGCTAGTGAGGAGCAGGGCTGAGAGTTGAACCCATGTAGCCCAACTCCAGACCCTGCTACTGTAACCTCTGTCCCACTGCTTTGTCCCCCACTCATGGGGTCTTCCTCACGTCTGGGGCCCCTGCAGACTCTGGAACCCCCCCCACCCCAGGCTCCTCATCAGCTTCTCCCTGCCATCCCCACAGGCTGCCTCTGAAGCGCACCTGCTCGCCCTTCACGGAGGAGTTTGAGCCTCTGCCCTCCAAACAGGCCAAGGAAGATGATCTGCAGAGAGGTAGCCTCACTCTCGCCCTGTTTGTTCTCTGAGCCTTCCCCAGCCCCCAGCTCTCCGTGAGGCCTTCCGCAAAGCCTCAGACTGACCCTGGTCTGGGCAGCCCGGGCAAACCCACCCCAGCAGGGAGGGGCTACTTTCCTTCCTGGAGCCTGGGCTGGGCCAGGGCTTGACGGTGGTGTGGAGGGGTCAGGAGGGCATCCAGGGTGCTTGGAGACACAGCTATGGAGTTGTGGGCTTCTGCGTCCTCTCACCTTGTCGGACGTGGGTGTCCTGGGGCAGCTGGTAAGGCAGCAGCCTCGTGATGTTGGGCACATCCTTCTCACTTTGGCTCATAGGGAATACCTGGCTTTCTGCCTTTGACACTGTAAATCTGTAACTTCCTGGGATAGGGTGACTGTAGCTGACCACCAAGAGGAAACCAACTAGCTACTGAGATCAAAAGCTTCTAGCATCCTTGAACTGAGCCTTGCACCCTACTTGGTGTTTCCAAAAGTCATGTCCATACTGCCCACAACCTTATGAAATAGGGGGTGGAACCGCCTCCATTTTCCATCTGGATAAAATGAGACTCAGTGATGTTAAAAGAACTTCTTCAGTGTCACATAGCAGGCAGATGGCAGAGCAGGGATTCAAACCCACCAAAACCAGCAGAGTCTGTGTAAATGTGTGGGACCTGCAGAACCAGGTGAGATGTTTCCCACCTGGGCACAGATCTCAGCAAGGATTTGCTCTTTTTATAAAAATCAGTCTTATGTTACAAATAATATTTTTTAAGATTCTTCTACCCTCGTGGAAGATATTCCTTTGTACCACTAAAAGCCACCCATTTGCTTCTCAGTTTTGTTGTACGTGCGGCGGGAGACTGAGGAGGTGTTTGACGCCCTCATGTTGAAGACCCCGGACCTGAAGGGGCTGAGGAATGCGGTAAGAGGCCTTGTGGATTCCGCCCTGCCCTGACCGGACCCCACTCTGCACTCCTGTCTTTCCTGACTCTTCACCATGAAGTTCTGATTTCCCATGGGAAGACCCTGGGAAGGAATATGCTGGAACGTTGGCTTTCTGGTAGCCCACCTGTCCCACCCCATCTGAGGGCACCTGTGGGGCCCAGCTGCTGGGGGTGTGCCTCTGAGATGTTATCTCCCAGCCAGAACCCTGGCTCCACCCTGGGAGTCGCACACACCATAAATCCTCCTTAATCTGATAGCTGCTGTCTGACAGGCCAGAGCTTTTTGTTGGCTTTGCAAACCTGTTTCTGTTTTAATGGGAATGAAACCCAAAAAGGCCAGGCCCCAGAGGTACTCTTTTTTCTTTCCCAGAAGGTCTCATTCCTCCAGCTTGTGGTTGGCTGGTGCGGGGGCTGCTGGCCCAGGCAGCTAAAGGTGGTGTTTGGGCCAGGAGACCTTCCCCAACCCCCCAAACCGCCAGAGAGCGGGTAAAACTGCCCTGAACAAAACCCACAACTGCTTTGTGGTTCAGCTAAAAACGAAACAAACACAGCCTCCACTAGGGCCACCACTCAGAAAAGCCAGGTGGTTCCAAGATGTCAGCTTGGGGAAGGGAAAATGAACCAAATAATAACGTAGCTCCCTTTTATTAAAGACTCACTATGTGCCAGGCACCTTGTCAGACATGCTGCATTTGCTTGCTCACAGTGTTCTCTTAACAACCCTGGAAAGTGGATGCTATCATGATCTCCTCACTTCCATAAGGAAACAGCCTCCTGGGGGTCAGGTGACCTGCCAGGGTTACTAGAAGTGACAGAGCTGGGATTCTAGCCCAGGCTCTCTCCACTCTGCTATGTTATCCTGTTCTCTCCACATAGCATCAGCTCTGCTTGGCTCACAAAAGGCCATTAATGTCACTAGAATATAGACTCAGAATCTTTGAGCTGGACAGTACCTTAAAGGGTCAGCTCCCCATCTGCTGCTCGAGCTTGCTCCCCAGTAGCCCTTCCAAGTGGTTGCCCACTCTTGACTTGTATACTTCAAGGATGGCTAGCTCGTTGCCTTGTGGGGCAGCCATACAAGGTAGTTGTCTTTGTATGGCGTATAGTTAGAAAGTTCCTAAATTCTTGCTTAGACTGACTTGAGATCTTCCTGGTAGCTTCCAGCCACATCCCCATTAAGTTCAGTAGTCTAAGAACTTTTCTTGCCTAGAGAGATCTCTGTCAAGGCAGAGACCAGCTAAGGAGCTGAACAGGCTCCTCTTCCTGAAAGAAGTGACAGGATGACCTCTGCCTGCAGCCTGTGGCCTGAGGTTCGCTGTGGCTTCAAGGCAGCTAGTAACACTAACCAGCAGTGTCTGACCAAGCCCGGATGGTGCTGCGCCAGGACTTGGACGTAATCGTCTTAATTCCTGTGCAGAACCACCTGTTTGTACATCCTATTATGAGACCCATTTTACAAATGAGGAAACTGAGGCTCAGAGAAGTAAGGTGACTTGTTCAGAGTTCTGCAACCCCAGGTGGTAGAGCTGAGACCAGACTGGTTCTGTCTGCACCAGAGAAAACCTCAGGAGGCCTGGGGAGAAATGGGATGACTCTGGCTGTGTGAGCTCAGATAGGTCGCTCATAGGCCTCTGAGCTGCAGTTTCCTCACCCGTAGACTAAGCTCCAACGTTCTGGGATGTGATGGGGGCAGAAAGCCTGGATTCTAGGCCAGGCCTTGGGTGCATTCTTTATCTTCTTCAAGCTCAGCATCCTCGCCCATCAAATGGGGTTAGTAATTCCTGCTAGATTGGGTAAATGTTTGGGTTATCCTCCACTCACAAGAGGGCAAGAGCATTCCTGCTATTCCACTTCTAAAATAATAACAATGACCATTTATTGAGTATTGACATTTATTTAGTACATGCGAGGAACTGTCCTAAGTGTTTTACATGGACCAATTCATTTAATTCTTCCAGCAACCTATGAGCTAGGCACTGTTTCCATCTCCACCAGTGGTTTGCCCAGCTGGTCAGCCAGCTGGTAAGTGGGGAGCCTTCGGCACTGGAATAATCTAAATGTCCGACTATAGGCAAGGGTTGAGGAAAATGCCCTTTGGGATATTTTACAACCACTAAATATGCTGTTTGTCAAGAGTTCATTGTGATGTGGGGAGGCTTATAATATACAACGGTAGGTAAAACTATCTGGGGGGGATACGTAAATATCCATGTACCAAGAGATAGGAAGGAATACCCCTAAATATTAGTGTTTATCCCTGGGAAGCAGAATTGTGGATGATTGTAATCTTCTTCATTGTATTTTTCTACAGTATGGATAAATATTACTTTTAGAATCAGGAAATTAAAAGTCATGGTATCAAAAGACTGGTATACATCCAATTTTAGCAGCAGACAATGAATCCGCTGCCATTCTCTTCCAGATCTCTGAGAAGTATGGGTTCCCGGAAGAGAACATTTACAAAGTCTATAAGAAATGCAAGCGGGGGTAAGTGCCCAGTACAGCTCTCCATCACCACTCCCCACCCTGCCACTTTCCCTCTAAAATATTGGCTTAGGGAGCTCCCAGCAGGTTTTCCCTGCTGGGCAAAGCTGTGTTTGTACTCGGCTTTGTGGAGAGGTAGAAGCGATGTGAAATTGGGGTGGAGCGTGCCCAGTCAGGCCACAGTCACCTGCAGACAGTGATCACTGTTGGAAAGGAAAGGAGGAGGAGACAGATGGAAAGGTCTTCATATACCACCTACCCAGGTGGAGAGGGAAGCACAGGGCCACATGTCAGAAGACCCAGGTTCTAATCCCAAGGGCACTGGATAACCAAGTCATTTGATTGTAATGGTACTGATGATAGTGACAGTCATTTTCTTGACCACCTACCATGCGCCAGGTACTGGGCTAAGCTTATCTCGTTTAACCCTCACAGCCACACCATGAGGTAGCTACATTACCCATTTTACAGACAGGGAAATTGAGGCTCAGAGATGCTAAGCAATGTTCAGAGGGGAGGAGCAGTGGAATAAAGGTACAGAGGCAGAAGGGCCCAACAAAGCTGCTACTGGCTGAGTCAGTGGTTCCAAGAAGGAAATGGCTGGCAATAAGTCTGGAAGGAGAGTTGGAGCCCAGGCAGGGATACTCCACAGACCTCCACCTTTGGGTCTGGATGAGACAGGAGGGAGTAAAGTTTTATCTTCCAGGGGGCCAGGCAGTGCCTGCCACCTGCCATGGGTGCCAGGGGATTAGTGCTAAGGACCGCGGTGCCTCTGCTGTCAGCCCAGGGTTGGGGCGGGTTGGGCAGAGGGCCACGTGCTGACCACCCTACCAGGCGTCCACCCTTGGTCAGGGCCAGTGAGCTGGGCCTCTGCAGCCCTTGCTGTCTAGGTCACTTCACCAGCCCAGTGTGGGGGCCCCTGGGGGGTAAGGAATTGTCACCGCCATTCGCTGCCTAGAAGACCTAAGACTGGGGTCCTGGGAAACAGCCTCAGGCCCCCTGCCCACAGCTCGGGCCTGATCCTCCAGCTCCTCTTACGAGCTGTTCCTGGAAGGTGCTCTGGCTTTGCCCTGTGGCTGTTGTCTGTGGGCTCTCCTTTCAGAAGACTGCAAAGTGAGGCATGTTTTGTACTGGGGCTGAGGCCCCCCATCCAGGCCCAGGGGCCGCCTCCTTCCTCAAAGGCTAGCCTCCCTCCTTCTCTCCCTCCCCTTTGGCTCCCATAGAAGGGTGGGGAAAGGTGTGCAGCCCTGTAGCCCCTGGGAAAGGATACGTTTGGTTTTGGTTGTATGAGTGTCTCGAGTTCTTTGTGTGTTTTTTTTCTTCCAAGTTTCGGTTTCAAACTGGGGCTCACACGCTCTCTAGAGTGGAATCCACCTCATAGCAGAGAGCAGGCTCTGCTTTGCCCGGACAAGCCTAGCCCCACTTCCCCTTCAGTGCCAGTGCCCACACCCCCTGGCTGCCACCCCACCTGTCACCGCCAGCCTCTCTTACAGATCCCACCACAGGCTGTGTTGAGGGGCTGGGAAATGCCTTTGTGTATGATCTAGGGGTCTGGGGTGTGCATACAAGGATGCCCCACCCCTCAGCCCCACGGGCTGAGTGGCAAGTCTTTCCCTTAAGCCCCAGCCAGCTATTTCAACCATAATTATAATAACTTCCATTTGTGGAGCACTTTGTACATGCCAAGCACTGGGTTAAATAACTCCTGAGCATCATTTCACTGACCCTTTGAATTTGATATGATTATCTCTATTTCTACAGATGAGGAAAACTGAGGTTCAAAGTAGTCCCAGGGTCGCAGAGTTAGTAACCTGCAAAAGGAATGCTGGCCTGTCTAAAGCCCATACACACACCCACTATTTTATCTTGCCTCCTGCTTGTTCCTCTAACCACTAAGCAGTGTACAAATAAAGGCTGTGGCCAGGCTGGCCAATTTATTCGCCCAGCCCCATAGCCCAGGGCATCACCAGCAGCCTTTCAGAAGCACTCACACCCCTTACACCACCAACCATGAAAACCTCAGGCCTCGGATCATCTGAGATGCCTAAGTGGGAAGAGTCTCCAAAGAGCCTCCTGGGACTGGAGAGGCCAGGCTCATTTGCTGTCTCCCTCAGAGACGGTCTCTCTTCATCTGAGGAACAGGAAATTGTGATCGCTGGCCTAGTTTATTTTCACAGAACCCTCCAGAAAGTCCTCTGGACAAAAGTAGATACAATCAGCTTTACAAGCACTGCTGAGTGCTTGAAAGATTAACAAATACATTGCTTTTGCTGGCAGCTGGCCAGGGGTTCCATGTGAAGCGGGATAGGAGACAGCCAGAAGCTGGCAAGTGACAAGAGGCCCGCATTCTGGGATATCAGTTCCCGACAAGCCCCTGCCTCTAGGGCCCAGCTGTCACTGACCTCTGAGAGGAAGGGGTCCGTGGGCCTGTCTGAGATCCCTTGTGCGCGGGTGTGCGCTCTGGGCCGGCTGAGAGGCCCTGCCTGGGAGTGGGAGGGAGGCGGCCTTCAAGTTCGTGCATGTAGGGCATTTACACAGTGCCCGGCACCTAGAAGCACCCAGTAAATGCCACTGTGTGAGACAGACGAAAAACCCAACGGTTACAAAGCGCCCAGCCCTGGTCCCCTCTGGTCTGTTCCCAGCCTGCAGCCCCCAGACAAAGATCTCTCTGTGAAATGAACTTCTAACAGGACCCAGAAGAGTGGAATCTGGTCATTAGACGCTGGCAGTCAGCACCCCGGCCTTGGAGCCTGAGCCCAGACCTCCTTCCAGGAAGCAGCAGCTGCTTGATGCTGCTGCAGGGACAGCTGGACGTAGGCCGTAGGCTTCGGCTCACCGCTGTCTTTGTTGTCCCTCCTGACGTGAGGGATTCAGGGGCACAAGGCCACCACCCTCCCCCCGACCCCGGGGTCCCCAGAAAAGCAGCCTCCTGCTTCCTGCCAGTAGTAGTAGTCTGGGATTCTCACACCCCGACTCCTGCCCCACTTAAATAATCTTGCCTCATCTGAACTCTCCTTCAGCCCTGGATTTGCCGTGTGCTAATTCCTAACTTGTATTTATAGGGTTTTTGTTTTTGTTGTTGTTTTCTTTAAAAAATGATGCAGTGGAAAGAGGTGAAAGTCTGGATTCTGATTCCAGCTCTGCTGACCCTTAACTGTGACCCGAGGCAAATGACTTTGCTCCTTCAAACCTCAGCTTCCCCATCTACAAACTGGGCAATACAGTTATAAGGATTCACTCTCCCAGGACCTCCTAGATTGAAAAACACCTGGAGGGCAGGACCTCCGATCTCTGTGTGGCCCTTGTTTGTGTTTGGAGCGAGGCCCTGCACATGGAAAGGCCTCAGCAGATGCTGGTGAGGTGGAGGGAGACATCCACCACCATCCCGAAGGGAAAGCTGCTGTGCTCAAGTCAGGTCCCCGCCTGGTGGGTCCTTCACGAGAGAGGCAGCTCCTATCGGGGTACCCTTGGCTACAGCATGGCTTTGACCCCCAGCAGAGGGTCACAGTCACAGAGGCTCTGTCCCTCTCAGGTTGGCCCAGGTCCTTGCCTGAAGGCGGCTGAGGGGTGGGCTGGGGTGGAGAGAAGGTCAGGCCCCTAAAGTCCATGGTGCCATCCCTGAGATTTCAGCTCCCTGGGGTGAAACTGAGGGTGGCTTGTGTGGCTCCTGCCTCTGGCTCAGGCAGTCACACCTGAGTGACATATCACAGCCTCTTGTTGAACCCAAACCTCACTGGTCCACCCACCATTCCTCCCACACTTGAACTCATGCCTTGTGTCTGAGTGCTCCCTCTGGCCTGGTGACCAGGGAGCCCTGCATCTTCCCCACATCTATGTGTTTGTTGCTTAAAGGCATCCATGTGCGTATCAGGAGAGGCCATCTGGGAGGTAGGTGGGTGTGGTCGCCAGCAGGCTTGGGTTTGGTTTGAGCTCGGCCACTGGGGAATTGTGTCCTCCCCTGTAAAGTGGGGCAGTGAATGCCCACCTTGCAGGTTGTTATGAGGGTCTGAGAGAAAATCTGAGTGGTGCCTCAAGTGCTAGGGGCGCCTGATTGGTAGTGACCATTACTGTCACCCTTTACTCAGGCCGTGTAAACAAGGGGCCTGTCACATTCTAACCATGTCTCTTCTCTTCCAGAATCTTGGTCAACATGGACAACAACATCATCCAGCATTACAGCAACCATGTCGCCTTCCTGCTGGACGTGGGGGAGCTGGACGGCAAGGTTCAGATCATCCTCCAGGAGCTGTAGAGCCTGAGCACTGACACCCTCAGTCCTCTTGAAGTAGGCACCAGCCAGGAGCCAGCTGGGAAGGGGCCCCACGCCACACACAACCTCTCCTCATGCCTCAGTGCTGTTACTTGAATGCCTTCCCTGAAGGAAGAGGCCCTCGAGTCACAAACCCTGACATCAAGGCCAGGAAGGGGCCTGGGAGGTGTCCTGATCTGAACCCCCATTATGCTTGAATCTACTCTCTAAACTTCCTGCCAGAGCCTGCCCATCCAGAGACAGTGCCATCTTGGTTAACATGCCCAACAGACCATTTCCGCCTCAAGTGACCCTTCTCTGCAGCCGATCTCCTGCAGGCAGCCGGTCCAGGAGGGGGAAGTGGACCTGCGTCCCCAGGTGGACTTGACTCTTCACCCTATTCTTGATGCTTCCATCCACTTCAGACCAAGGATTTCTCACCCTTTGGTCAGTTAGTTAACTTGAAAACTCTTGATTTTCAGTGCAAATGACTTTTAAAAGACAGTCATGGAGACACTCTCCTCACAGACTTCCCCAGTGCAGGATGGGAATCAGAGCGATCGACGGGAACAAAGTGGCCTCTGTGTGAAAAGACTACCACGCCTGCTCACTGTTACATACATTTCTTATTTACAATTTTCATTTATGTTATATATATATAAGTATATATTGTATATATATATGCAACATTTTATATTTTTCATGGATACATTTTTATCATTTCAAAAAATGTGTATTTCACATTTCTTGGACTTTTTTTAGCTGTTATTCAGTTATACATTTTGTATACTCATATGGTATTTAGTAATAAATTCTACTTATGGATTGCTTCAAATGCTACACTTGTTCCTCTTGTGAAAGTCTTCCAGAAAGAGAGGGTGAAAGTAAGGCTTCTCTTCTCTGTCCTGTGAGCGGTTTGCCTTGGACTTGAAGGATGGTGGGCAGTGCTAGGCCTGGTGAAGCAGAAGGGCCCCCCCGGAAGGCATCAAGTCCTGACGCCCGGCATGGTCCTGGGTGGCCTGTCCTGTGTGGCCCACAGGCTGAACATCATGACCTCGGAATCAGCGATTGTGGAGATGAAGAAGTTCCCGGATGCCCTAACGAGGCCTCATGGTGGGGGGCAGTGCACAGAGCCTGGGGCGGGGGTGGTATCACCTGAGCTCAAGTGCCAGTCCTGTCCCATTGCTCTCCACCGGCTCGCTCCTCCTGGAGCTGGCTCCCAGCAGCTCATGGGAGCCATCGTGCCCAATTCTCCCCAACTCTGCAGCCAGTGACGTCATGTTGCTATGTCGGAGGGAGTGCTTACACCACAGGAATTGACAAATGCTACAAATCAGTGGTTATTTCCCCTAGAGGACAGGTGACAAGTCAGAGCATCCTTCTGTCTGTCCTCCTCCGGCTTACCGGCACTCCACCGTCTCTAGTCCTCAGCTGCTTTGGCTATAAAATGAGGGGTGTGGCCTACCTGAGTCATCGGGTAGCACTCATCTTTAGAGCCCTGGGGTTCACTGGTGGGTCTCAAGGGCCCACATGATGTGGGGGAAAGGCAGGCAGGTGAGCAGCCCTTGGACATCTTCCCCAGACTTCAGTTACGGCAGTTCTGCTTTCCTCCATTTTCGTACTAAGACTTCTCATAAACTTTTGTCTGAACTAAACTTTCAAAAATAGTTTGAAAACCATGGATGTCTCCAAGGGCCTTCCAGCTCTGACAATCAGTCTAGAGTCCTAATTCCCAAGCCTCGGGGCCAGGACTTGGGTCAGGCAAGGGGAGCCCTAAGCCTCAGGTGCAAAAATTAGGAGGCGCCAAGAACCCAGTCACCCTAATGCAACTTTTGTTTGTTTTGTTTTTTAATTAAGGCCAAAAAAACAAAACGAAAACCATGAATGAAGTACCAGACCTTTGAAGCCAGGATCAGTATTACTGGTGTTTGGCCTCAGGCTCCAACTCGGCGTGGCTGGCACGGCTGCAGGGACCCGCGGAGACCCCTGAGTTGCCCTGCCCACTCCGGGCCTTGCCGCCGTGACATCATCCTGAACGTCAGAGCAGGTGGCTGCGTGTGAGGGTGAAATGGCGCTGTGTGTGCAGAGCGGCAGCGCCGCGAGGCACGCCAGGCTGCCAGCAGCTGCTCGTTTCCTTCCAGAGCCCCTGGAAGCAGGAAGACGGCCCTGTTCAACTTCCACTGCCCTGGGATCACCTAGGCAGCTTTTATTCCTCCTGCCCAGACTGTAACCTAGAGCAATTAAATCAGAATTTCTCGAGTTGGGGCCCAGGCCACAGTATTTTAAAGCCCCCCAGTGCAGTGTGCACTCAAGGCCAAGAACCACTGCTCCAAAGAGGCCGTCCTTACACAAGCCTTGATGTCTTTGTAACCCGCCAGTGTCTGCCTGGACAAACACGCACAGGGAGCTATCGGTGTCAGTGCAGAGCTCAGGATGGGGGCCAGCAGCCTCCAGCAAAGCCACTGGGCCCACTGCTCTCCCCTCCATGCAAAGAGAAGAGGTTTCCAGTGCCCAGGAAGGCCATCGGACATCAGACAGAGCCCTGCGAGGCTTGAGGAAATTCTGCCCTGCCCTCAGAGAAGGTCAGGGATAAAGGGCAGCTCCTGAGCCCAACAGCGGCCACACCAGGATTGTCCTCCAAAGAGTGAAAAGGTGCAAGGAATGAAAGTAAGTCCTTTCCAAACAGGGGTCACTTTAGACAGGCAGCTGGTGGCTGGTGGACACGCCATCCTCTGCCTGTAGGTGGCTTTGCATGGCAGACAGACAGTGAATAGTGAGGGAAGAAAGCGATGGATGAGGAGCGTAGGAGTGAGGGAATGAAAGAATAATGAGATAATGAGGAGAAGGACGGGAAGGAGGAAGGGCGGGAAGGAAGCATAAACAAGTGGACAGGCAGATGGATGAACGGGGAGGGCCAGATGAACAGTTCGACAATTCCGTGTATATACTAGACCCTTGCTGCTCTAAGTGTGGTCCATGGACCAGCAGGGCTGGCACCTCGGAGCTTGTCAGAAATTCACCTAAAACTAATACAACGTTATGTCAATTCTATGTCAATTATATCTCAATTTAAAAAAAAAAAAGCAAAAGATATGTAGACTCTCAGACCCCACCCAGACCTACAGAATCTTTTAGTGAAGTCTCCAAGTGATTTGCATGCACAATAAAATTTGGAAAACACTTTATTAAACTATCAGCGTATCCTAACCCTAACTAGACACTTTGTAATCCTACCAAGAACTTTAGTAAAGATACCAATGCCCAGACCTGACCTCAGTCAGAGCCATGAGGGTCAGGCCTGGGCAGTCTGTGTCTGTAACAGCTCCTAAAGTGACCCTACTTACAGTTGGGCTTGAGAACCACTGGGCTGGACAGAGCTGTGAGCTGCCGATGACATCTTCAGAGAGGGTAGATACAATCAAGACAGACCCTCTGAGCACAGGACCTCAGCTCCAGCTGTGTCTTCTATGGGACTTGGATTCCAACTGGCCGAGAGCAGCCCTGTCACTCTCTTTCCAGGGTCTCCTCTTTCCTGACCCCATTTGAGCGGCTTCTAGAAAGAAGCCTTCACCTCCGTGCTCAGCCCCGCCGCTGGAGGAGAGTCCTGTCTTGTTCTCCATGCATTCCCACCAGCCCTGCCCACAGGGACTCCAGGCCTGGCTGCTTCCAGCCCAGTGGTCTGCTAAGAACCCCTAGGGTCAGAGGGACCTCAAAACCAAGACCTTGGGGCCTGGCCCCATTGTCAAGAGTCCAAAGTCAAAGAAAGGTACAGCTTCAAGTGTCAGCCTTGAAGGAGTCTTCTAGACCTTCCAGCACCCAAGTGGACAACTGATGGCCATCAGAAGAGTTTCCTTTAGCCTGAACAAAAAAATTTCAATTGAACTATGGTTGCCAAGATCTCCAGTCCAGTGGTTTCACATTTTGAGATCTCCCAGATGCTGCTGAAAACTTTGCAGATGTGGCAGCCGGGAGCTGGCCCTGTGCTAGACACCCCTTTAGGTGGGCAGCGGCCTCAGCTCCCGGACCCCCTCCTGCCTCTTGTGTTTTGTCTCCTGCCTTGCCCTTCCAGCCCGGGAAGTGCTTGACCTTGAGCCCCCAAATTCTGATCCAACTCTTCACCTCAGGGAGAAGCTGAGGACCCAAGCTGAGTGGACGGCAGCACCAGGTGTCACCTGTAATCCAGACCTTGGACGCACTTGGCGCCGGGCTCCAGGCCGCCTCCCAGTCAGTCGTCCCAAAGCGGTGGGGCACTTGTGGGAATCTGAGGTTCACAAAAAGGCCAGCTTTTGTGAGAAGTGAGAACTCAGTTTAATATGACACGTTATTGCATCCTTCTCTCTCCCTCTTCCCCCTCTGCCCGCACCAAAAGCCAATCAGTGACCAGCTCTGGACTAACCTTCTGGGAGGAAAGTCACAGGAGAGACCAAGGGGGAGTGAGGCCCGAGGACGCAGGACTGTCAACAGCTGGGAAAGAGGGATGTGTGGTTAACTCCAGTTCCTCTGGTTCTTTGAGAATCTTTACCTCTTGCTGAGAGGGAATGACTTGGCAGGACAGAAAAGATCCATTGACAATCATGTCAAACTTGAGCAGAAGGTGAGAGGGGACGGAGACCGGACCAGGGAAGGGGACAGGCCGGGTGAAAGTAAGAACCTGCAGGTGCTCTTGAGGCCCGCTGTGTCCAGGGCTCTGGCTCCACCAGGGTCCTGCCCCCGAAACACAGAGCCAATAAACAGATGTGGTGGCCTCTCCAGAAGTGGGGTAATATGCTCCTGTGACCATGGTGACTGGCTACTGCTCTTCTTGAGATGAGAGACAAAAGCCAAGCTGGGGGCAAGGGCCAGGCCAACCCTTCGTGTCCCTGTCACAAGTGCCTCTGGGCCTTCCTGGCTCCTGGAACTCCAGGAGGAGCCTGGAAGTCAAGGCCAGAAGTATGGGAGCGTGCCGGGGCCACGGCCCTGTGCTGTCTGTCCTGTAGTGCTCTCTGGGCCCCTGAGCCCTGGCCCAGCAGAAGGCTTCTAGACAGGGCATCTGCCATGGCTGCCTTCTCCTGGAGTCTGGGCTTCAGGAACCCCTCAGGTCTGGGGGCAGGCACGCAGAAGCAGCCCCGACCGGTGCATGCAAGTAACAGAGGGGCTCGGCCCACTTTTCATTCTGCTCAGGAAACTACTGGAGTCGGTGGGGTGGGGTCCAATCTCCAGGGGGCAGTTCACGACAAGGACAAATGCAGCAGCCCAACTGTAACACCAGGCTTGGTGGCAGAGCTTGCCCCAAGTCATCAGCTGACACACAGGAAATGTGTAGTCTCTGAATGAAACTTCTAGGGCACCCAGGTGGGCAGCTGGGGGCCAGGCTCCCCTTGAGCTTGCGTGAGGTGACTACAGCACTGGGATCCATTTGTTGTCCTCATTGTAGAGAAAGGACAGTTTTCCAGGGAATTCCGGCTTGTATGTGGCTGTAGGGAGAGAGAGATGGCACTGAGAGGAAAAAGGCCAGTTCTCAAGGCCCTGGCGTTCTGTGTCAGAGCCAGCAGGCCTGTGGGGCCCCGTCTGCACCCACTGCGTCTTCCATGTGGGGAGACAGAGAGGAAGAGACTGGCCCAGGGGTCCCGGGGGCCCACCGCTTGAGCTCACCTGTACAAGGGGGTGGAACTAGATGTCTTGAAAGAGCTGCTCTGGGGGAGCCCTGGTTTATTTCATGACGGACACAGCATAAAGGGGAGAGAGCCCGGCCTCTCCCCTGCCACCCGCCCACTGTGGGTCTGTGTGCACCTCGCTCCCTGGGCCTTCCCCCCTCTGTAAGGTGGCCCGGCCAGACTAGGGCCACGACCTAAACATTTTGAAGAATATGAACTTTTTTGACAAAAGCTATGGCTCCTTTCCCCAGAAAATAATGTCTGTGTGCTCCAAGCCTGCAGACAATTTCAGGGTCACAGACCCCCTGGAGCCCATCTCTGAGCCTCTTGAACAGTCACAGTCCTCAGTTATAAGTCCCTGGCCTGGAGCATCTCTAAGAGCCCTTTCACCTTAAAAAAAAAAGCAACAAAACTTTCATATTCTGAAAGTCTAAGCTGAGAAGTCTTCTAGATCTACTCTAACCCCCGTAAACTATTTGGCAAACAGCCTATAAATCAGGGGCATCTGATGGTCCAGGAATGACAAACAATTCCAGATTTGGTTTTTACAATCATTTAAAACAATCCTCTGACCTGGGCCGGGCAGGCCTGGCTGGGACGGCGCCGCTGTCCACCGGCTGGTGTTGGACACAAAGGATGCACTCTTGACGAAATGCTTGGGGGGCCCCACACAGTCCACGATCTCATACTGACCAGGGCCCGGAAGAGGCGGCTTCGGAGGCAAAGGCAAAGGCTGGGCAGAGAAGTTCAGGACAGGGTTTCTCCTTCAGAAAAGACAAAATGGGAAGCTATCAGTGTAGTGGGGAAATGGCAAGTTTTCAGACATTGCGAAGACCTGCCCAGAGCCCAGCCATCTGCGAGGACTGGACATGGCACCAGAAGACCTGTTTCCTCTTCCGGCACCACTGCTAGTGAGCCGGGGGGCCCCTGGACCTCAGTCTCCTTCCCAGCACAATGGCAGTCATAATAGTACCACCTCGTAGGCTTGTTGTCAGGGTTAAATGAGATAATACACCTAAAACACAGAAGCCAGGACAGGGCCCAGCACAAAGAGGGAGCTCAGTACTCGCTGTTGTAGACAATGTCGGTGAGCTAATCAGGAATGCCAGGCGGCATTTATGCCATGGGCCAACTCTGATCAATTGGTAGTGCCTGGCTGGAGCTCCATGTAAAGAACTGAGGCCTCACTTGGGCTCTGCAGGGAGAGCACTGGTGATCCGCTTGTGATGTCTGCTGTGGCCAGGAAATGGGAAGAGGCATCCCAAATTCCAAGGATTTGCCATCCCAAGACGAGTAGATCTCTGGAGGCCGCTCAAGCATTGACGTTCCAGAAACTTATTAAATATCTTTCTGGCAAAGCAGGGTGCAGGAGTGGAAAAATACTGGATTTGATGGAAATCAACAGACCTCTGAATGACAGTCACCGCTTCGACAGCAACTGTTTTCAGGTCTGTCTGCCCCTCCTTCAGGGAAGGGGGTCTTTTATGCCTGGTATTAAGAGAATAAGTGAAAGGGAAATAGAACCTGTACTGGAGCTGCGGCTCTGTCACTAGTTCACTCAGGGGCTCAGTCTCCCCATCTGTAAGATGAGGCGATAGACATGATGACCTCTGAGATCCCTTCAGCTGAGACCTCCCATCAGGCCTGGATTCAATCCGCTGGGTTGCCAGGAGCCCTGGGGTTGTTGCGGAGATCACCTGCCTTCCTGCCATGCTCTAGAAGGGCTGCCTGCTTCTGCTTCACACCTGAAGCTCCTTCCAAGGTCTCTCACCAAATGAGAAGATAAACTCCTCAGCTCACTGAACGGCCACAAGAGACTCACCCCAACTTGAAGCCAACCCATCTTAACAGAGGAGGGGACTGGGACTCATGGCCGCTGGAACTCTGATGCCCTTTGGCCAACACCTTCTGAAGTAGAGGTTCTTAAACCCGGAGAGCTAGAGGGGACCTAGAAATGTCTTATCCAATCTCCTTATTTTGCTAAAGAAGGTAGTGCCCAGAGAGAGAAAGTAAGTCCCCCAGTGCCGCAGAGCGGATCAGTGGCAGTGCCAGCACCAGGACTCCAGCCTCGGTGCCCAGCAGCGTGGGGAAGGCATCACGGCAGAGGGGAAATGTGGAGTTTTAGAACCATACAGACCTGAGTCTGAATGCCACTCGGCCAAGTCCCTCGACCTCTCTGTTCCTGCAGCGAGGAGCAGTAACTTTCACTCCTTGTGAGGGAGTTGATGACCCAGCTAAAGGTATGCAAGACGCCTAGCAGGGCCCCAGCAGCACACGGTAAGTGCTCAGTAAAAGTAGTCGTTGCTATTACTACGATCCTTGCAGCACCGCTACCTGCTGCCTGGTCTCAGAGGAGCAATGGTGCCACAGGAAAGGGAGATTAGGGGACCCCTCACCAGAGTTACCTTGAGGCAGGGTGGACACCCCCACTGCCAGGGGAGGGCACTATCGTAAATCTGCTTGAGGTTCACATCTTGGGATGGAGGAACGGCTGGCTTGGATGCTCATATTTAGAATAAAAGTGCCCACAGGAAAAGGAGGGGAAGCTGCCTCCTTTCTTCCCCTCCAGGTAGCATGAAGAACCCGTTATAGTGTGAGATCCACCACTCTCCCCTTGTAAATAAAGCTGGCTTCTCCTTGGTCTGGCTTGTGTCACCCGTTCAAAGCATCCATCAACAGAAGTTTGATGAGTGTGTGACTGGCGTCATTGAGAGACAGGCTTAACTCCTGGAAGTTAGAGCTGGAATAAGCCAACCCGTGTACGAGGTCGCCCCATGGGACTGGAGCTTTGGAGAGTGTCAGCCACATGCCGGGCACTCTGGGGAGTCCCGACTGTTCTGTGCTGAGACACAGAGCCTGGTGCTCCCGAGGGCTCGACAATCGCCTGCTAGTGACAACTTGAAACAGCACAGGCCTCGCCCTCAGGCAGACCTGAGTTTGACTCTCCGCCTCCCCACTCACTCACTAGCGGTGTCTCCTCAGACAAGTCTCCCAACCTCCCTAAGCCTTATTTTCTTCTTCTTTAAAACGGTGGATAATAATACCTGCTGCCCGGGGGTGTTATGATGACTAATGAGTGCTTTACGCGCATCAAAAGTTTTTAAAAACGTGAAATGTTAGAATAGAAGTGAGAGAGACTAATTCTGACGTGGTGAATCCAGAAATCTACCCTAGAAGAGGTAACAGTTGCCCCGAAAGGTATGCAGGAATTCTTCAGGTAGAAAAGGTGGAGAAGGGGGCATTTCCCTGGAGGAAACAGCAGGGGCACAAGCTGTGGGGAGGGACAAGCTGCGGCTCCACATTGCAGGAATCGGGGCCCAGGAGCCAGAGGCTGAGCCTACTGGGCTGCCTGCAACTCTCCTTCCACCCACAATTTCCAGGTGGCTCTCCCGTGTTTCTGACCATCCCCCACCGTCACAGACCCTGAGGAGGAGCTACAGAAAAGCTCCTACCATGGCCTCCCCATCCAGCCCAACCTCCGAGCCCCTGCTCCCAGAAACACCCAGCACGACACTGTCCAGCAACTCCATGCCTTTGTCATGCTGTTCCTCCCGCCAGGAGCACCTACTTTCCCGGCAAACTCAGACTCACTCTCCACTTCCCCTTCCCCGCCTTCCCTTCTCTACTCCATCGCCCTGGTGAGTCTACCGTCATCTGTAAACTCTGCAGTCCTGACCTGTGGGAGAGTTGCAAGAAGACACTAGACAATTTTTATGAGAGCTCTGGGCTCAGGGTAGCTGGCCCCTCGGTACTTTGTAGCCATTCTCCTTTGCACAAAACCCACTAGATTTTCTAGGCTGCTTCTTGCCTGGCTCTTTAAGGGAAAGGATAGTGTCTCCTCCATCTCTGAGGCCCTGGTCCCTATTCCTGAGACATTTGCCTAACTGCAGAGAAAAGCAGAGGGGTAGAAGCGAGTAAGGGAGCCCAGGCCTCTGAACTCCACCTGACAGTTTTCTCAGCATCTAGGGCTGGTCCTTCCATGTCACGGTGGGGCTGGGCCAGTCACAAAGGGCAGGCCGCATCAAACCCAGGGCAGCCACAGTGCATTGTGGCCGGGGCTTTTATGAGCCTCATCGTCCAGTTATAAAAGCCAACCTGGTCCTGCCCCGTGGAAAGAAAACATCTATCAAAAGCTCTAAGTTGGCCACAACTGGATTAAGTGTGTTTGCTGCTTCCAATGTGAGCTGTTTGCAAATCGCCCAAGAATAATGAATGTCTCAAAGGACTCAGCAGGTCACCTGGGGAGGGCACCCGAGACCCTCAGGACACTCCCAGGCACAGATTCACTCTGCCTCGGGGATTCCCAGGGTCGGGAGGGGTAGAGGGGCAATTTTTTCTCATCATTAAAGGGCAGCCGATTGCCTCTGGGGTGGAATGCAGTATCTGTTTAACAGGGTAGCGGGAGACAGATTACAGCTGTTTAGGAAGAAGCATCCCATATCTAATTGAAAATCCCAAGGGAACTTTAGGTGGGTCCAGCACAATTACCCAAATTGGAGCGGGGCCAACAGGGCTTGCATCTTCAGCTCTGGCTGTGACAGGACAGCGTGCCTGTGCAAAACCAGTGGCTTGAAAACTCCAGGAAGCAGATCAAGGGTTAGAAGGATGTCAGTGGGTGGTTCACCTCCTTGCTGGCGTGAGTTGGAAGGCAGCACCTAGGAGGAACTATTTTGATCTCCAAAAGCCCTCACCCTGACGCACCCTGATCCACTGAGTCATCCCTGTGACGGATACTGGAAGCCTAAAGTGAAACCTTGGCTGGTACTTCTCCTCTGAAGACCCCCCTGCAAGCCGATAAACCCTCTTAGCTTTTGAGTCAGCAACGTGGCCATAGCAAAGAGCTACTCTGTGACATGTCCTGGAGCCCAGAGATGGCCAGGCTCGCGCCCCTCCGACCCCCAGCACAGCATCTGTCCTGCAGGGCCACTCCAGAAACATCAGGTGAGTGTTGAGGACTCGTTCACACATGTCGATAAAAATAAAAGTCGCACACGTCGAAAGCTTACCATTTGCCAGACCTGATGACTGATGTGGGTTATTCTATCCTTGCAAGCCCATTATAAAGTGGTCTTGCCCCGGTCTTCAGAGGATGGATTCGAATTCCCGGGGAGTTAAGTGACCCCCACTTCTGCTCCCAGGCTCCCAGGCTGGTGACTGGGGGAGGCGGAATTTCGGGCAGCCTTACTTCCTGCGTGAGCTTATACCCCTGCACCACCCGGCCTCTGCAGCCCAGCCGACCCCAACTCAGGAGGCCAGCAGAGGTCAGTAACATGGGACCAGCAGCTCCAATGGGAATTAATGTCTCCCCTGGTTCTTCCTGCAGCCTAAAGAAAACAGAGCCAAAATAGCATTCTTGCAAACTGCAACCCTACCCGAGAGTGGGGAGCTAAGCACTTTTAACCAAGCCTGTGAAACCTGGGCTGCCTGTGCTTCCGAAAAAGAAACCCAGGGATGATTCTCAGGTTCTCCACCACTGCTCCAAGCAGCCCCGAAGATCTGAATATGATTAGACTTGATGTGGACAAAGTCTCAACGTATAGAGGGGGAGGAAACCACACAGACCTTCCCTGGGGACTGAGGACCCCAGGGAGGCCCCCAGGGACTCCTACCCCTCTCCAGGGTCACAGGAAAGGAAACAGAATTTGAATTCGAGAGACTGGGGTCTGGATGCTCCTACCATGTTCGGCTGTGTCTGATCCTTATATTACATCCCTTTCTTCATCATTCCACAGAAACAGAGGGACTAAAATATTTAGAATAACCAACAGCATGCTTCAGTTTAATCACCTTGTTTTTAAACGAAATTACAGAATTCCCAACTTCAGCCTTTCCATGTCAACTCAAAAATACAGAGTTTGGACTTCCTCTGTGGGTCCAGGCTGGCTCCATGTTCACTGCCCCCATGAGCTCTCCTGCCTGGTGAGCAGAGCTGGGGTCACAGAGCGTCTGAAATGGAAAGACCTCCCCTCTTTCCACACATGGAGGAACAAAGGCCCAGAGAGGCGCTGAGAGCAGCCCCAGGCCACAGACCCAGTCAACACAAATGTCCTGCCGTGGAGCCTGGGGTCCCATCAACTCACCAGGGTGAACCCAAGTTTAAGAGACACTGGATTGGCCAGGTCCCTTTACTGCGGGCCTTCTCAGAGCCTTTAATAAGCTCGTGTACACTGCAATGCTCCCAGGGACAGAGGGCTTGTATGCAGTGCTTCCTAGGTTTATTAACCAAGGATCTGTCTTTCACGAAGCATCACAGAGAGCCAGGACACCCCAGACACCCCCAGAAGTGCCTGCACTGCTGCATGGCCCCTGCCAAAAAGATAGCCCTGGAGGATGTGTGTGGCCACGCATCCTTGGGGCCCACACAGTCCAGCATGTTTGATCCAGCACTCTGTTGCAAGCTGCTCTGACTTGCTCTGGAATCGTGCTTGGGTGAGCCTGGCTAACAGTGTGTCTGGTGTTCTGTTTGCCTGAGCACCCCTCAGCCCTAAGCACAGATCCAGCATCCAGGGCCTGACAACTGACAGGTGCAAATGCCAGAAGATGAGAATAGTTCAAACCACTCGTCCAAACGTGAACAAAGGCCGAGTGACACTACTCTGGGGAAGGCATTTAAACACCAAGTGCTCCCCACTCCCCTGGCACCATTTCCTGGAAGAAGCGTCCAGATTTGGGGTAGAGGCTTGGGCCACCAAACCACAGAACGGCAGTATTCTGTATCCTCATGTATCCTCTCTAGGGTATAGAATAAGAGCAGCTGAAATAACAAGAATAATGGCTATTTTCAAGCACTTTCTCATTTAATCCTCACCGAACCCCTGTGAGCTAAGGTTCTTATCTCCACGTAGTAACATGGAAACGGAAGCTTAGGGAGGGGAAGTCTCTGCAAGACACAGAGCTGTGATTCACTCAGGTCTGCTGACTCCTCTCACCCACTCCACTTGTGGGCACTGCAGGGGAAAGGTGGTGTGCGGTCGTGCCTGAAGCCAGCCTGGAGGCACGAAGCCCCTGAACATTTGGAGAGAGCTTGTTCCTGGAGACTTTTCTGCACTAGTCCCCAGCCCTGCAGCCTGTGAAGGCTCAACCTGCAGGACCCAAGAACCAAAGGGCAGAAGGGACTTAGCTGGTGGACTTCATCTGAGGCCTGAATCCTGTCTCCAGGTTCCAAGTTGAACTCCGCAGGCCCACATCTTGCCCCTCTCCCTGGGCTGATGGTCAGAGTGGACCCAGTGATGCCAGACTGCCTGGGCTGCCCAGCCTTCTGACCCACTGTGACTGTGGGCCCAGCCACCTGCCCGACCTCTGGAGGGTCCTGGGTGGCTATACCCCTAGTCCCAGCCCTGCTGGCCGGCCCTCTCAACAGCCAACCCTGCCTGGAGAGGACAATACAGGGCTGAGATCTTACAAAGTGGCAGGACAACCGATCTTGATGGCACTTAGTTCTCGAAGTTCTAGACCCATTTAAGAAACATTAAGTCCATGAGTGTTTGAGCCCCTGAGGGGAGAGTAACATTAAACGTACAGGACCTAAAAAATGGTAACGCAGATCCCTGTCTTCACTGTTAAAATTTGTGTTGAGTCACCATTTGTACCTACTATGTCAAATATATATTTTCAAACTTGAAAGGAACTTTGAGATGAATTATCCCCACTTTACAATTACAGGGGGGTTAGTACAGCACTGATGGTCACATAGCACGAAAACAGCAGAGCTGAGGTGCACATCTGGCAGATCTGACCAAGACAAAAGACTAGGATTTTAGCCTATCAGTACAAAACTATGAGAGCTTACTGCTTCCGTATAGCCTGCCAACCGCCATGGAGATTTTATATTATAAAAATAGAATAATGTCAGCCCCAGGAGGGTACAGCATCCTGGGGGATGTTCTGAGCTTGCTTCCCAGTGGTACCTCAAGTTAGCTGTGAGGACTTAAGCAAACCTCTCGGCCTCACCGAAGCCTGGCCTCCTTCTCCATGAAGTAAGAATAATTATTCCCCCCATAGAGTTGTCATGATCATTGAATAAGAGGTCAGGCTTGTGGCACATAGTAGTTGCTCAATAAATATTATGTCAACAAGCATTTATTGAGCACCTGCTGTGTGTCAGCAAGAGCCCCAGGAGAGCAACTCGGCTCGTGTCTCCCAAGGTGAGATACCCTTCCTTTTCTCCCCAGGTTAGGGTCCCTCCCCAGAACCACCTTTCAGAAGAAAGATTAGAATGATCAGGACTCACGGGATGAGAGTCTTTTTTTGAACTTTGGTGTGATCGTTCGGGTTGTAATAACCGGGTCCCGGGCCTGTCGACGTCAGGTTTAATCCACGGCCAGTTTTCGATTTGAAACAAGACATCAATATCTTTGGCGACTGCTTCACAAGAGATTCGTTGACATTATAATGCCCTGAGGAGAAAGAAATGTTAACACAGAATAAAGAACGCTTGTCAAATAAATGAAAAGCAGTGCCTGCGCCTGAGAATGCATTCAATGACTACAAGGCAGTATCACTCCGGGGCCCACACTTTGCCTGCGCATTTTGACCCCGGCTTCCCAGTACTCAGAAATTAAGGAAATCATTCAACGTGGTGGAAAAGCTCTGAGCCTAAAGATGTACACAACCCCAGCAGCTACAGTGTGAGAAAGGATGGATAGCCTAGAAGTCCAAGCACAAGGACACCGGTATGGGAAAAGAGCCCAATCTGGTGGAAGGTCAGCCCGAGGGTGACAAGTGCAAAGACCACAGAGCCACATGGCAGTGTTTTTGAGAATAAAGGTGAGTGAAAAAAGTAAAATAAAGCATAAAAGTCTATACTGTATACACCTTGACACTGATGTACAAATGGATAAAAATAGGTGGGGACCCAGAACAGTGGTAAAAAACTATATTAGGGGTGGCTTTGTGAGTGGGGAAAATATTTCAAGTTTTCTGAACATTGTAAAGTTGATTTTATGTTAAAGAAAATGGACTCTTCCATGACAAAAGAACTGAAAACAACAGCATGGGACATTTTAGCAAGATTTTATTGAAGTGGTGACAACCCATGATGGCAAAGATGAGGGAAAACAGATGTCTCACAGAAGCAGGAGGATAAATGAACCCTGTGCTGAAGGGCAATGTGGTCACAAATATCAAAAACCTTAAATATTTTACATACCTTTTGACTTGGCCATTTCACTTTAGGCAATTTACATAAGGAAATAATCTTGATTGTACACAAGCTGTGAGCTACAAGGATGTTTGCTGCCACTCTACTTACATGAGTCATCAGTTTAAAACAACCTAAATCTCCAACTAGAGGGCATTTGTTCCTTAACTCATGGTATCACTGGACAATGGTATACTATGCATCCATTAAAAAAGGTGTTCTAGGAGGATTTTTAATGTCATTAAAAAAATGTTCCCAATTATATGCTTAAGTTAAAAAAAAAAAAGAAAATAGGCGGAGGGTACAGCTCAGTGGTAGAGGGTGTGCTTAGTTAGCATCCTTGAAGTCCTGGGTTCACCCAGTGCCTCAATTAAAATAAATAAACAAACCAAATTGCATCCCTGCTCAAAAAAAAAAAAAAAAAAAAAAAAAAAAAAAAAAAAAAAAAAAAGCAACTAAAACAACAACAAAAAACAGCTAAAAATTACAAAAAAATGTAAAAAAAGGAAACAACAGATGGCCCTTTAGCAACATTTATAATATTGATATATAGCTCTCAAATTATCTTTGTTTCTTTTTCACATATATTTTTATTCCCTTTACCAAAAAAAATTTCTTTTAAAGCAATACTTGATTATAAAAAAGCTAAAAAGCAGAAGCAAGGGGGAAAAAGCATTCACGCTCCTGCGGCCCAGAGAGAGCTGGGGTGTGCTCTCCGCTGTGTCTGCTCCCCGTCTTTCCTGTGCGCCCTGGACGCACTCTCACAGTGCAAATTCACCTCTGTAACCCACGTTTTCAGGTGACACTTTAACACAGGCATTTCCCCGTAACAACCTTTTTCTTTAAGGAGAAATAGAGAGGAGGACACTGGGGAGGATCGGGGACTTGTGCTTGGCACGTCCAAACTTTAGAAAATTCAACCAGCCAGAGTGTAAAGGTGGGCATTTTGCTCAGAACTGAAGGTGGATCAGAGCCGGCCCTCAGCCCCTGAGGCCGGGCGCCCGGATCAGAGGGGACACAGCGAGGATGCCAATTATTGCTTAACATCTGTTTTTTTCCCCACAGGCAGACCTAGAGGTCAGTGCAGATCGTTTCTCACAGAGGGGCAGATTCCCCAGACTCTGGCTCCTGGCAAGTTTAAGGGACCTGGGGGGAGTCCTGAAGGCACCAGGCATCGAGCTGGAGGCGGGGGTGGGGGCAGAGGAGCTATGGGACCCTGGGCTAGTGACCTGCTTTCTATATATGATTTTTGCCTGTAAAGTGGGGAAATAATAATGATAATAATAGCCCACACTCTCCGAGCACATCCGTGCCATGCAATGCTCCACGGGGCTTTGAGAGTGTTCAGTGAGTGGACAGCCCTGGCCCACAGTAGGAGCTCAGCAGACTCTGGTGCCCACTTCTCCTCTTCCTGCTCTGTTACAAGGGGCTTGGGGCCCCTCAGGACCCAGGAAGGAGCAGCTGCCCATCCAGGGCTCACTGGCAGGACCTCTGGCCCAACCCCCGGGATGCAGGCTTTGTTCTGTATAAACAAATAAGGTGGGGTTTTGCCCATGGTGATGCAAGGCAGGGAGCTTTGGACAGGCTTAGCCTCCTAATCAGGGATGGTTTTGTTATTCAGCTTCAGACTGATCTTCTCAACTTTAATCTGGATTTGCTGAAATCTGACATACGCTGCAATTTTACCCACACCCCCCCCTCCAAGAAGTGTGACTGCAGAGGCAAAACTTCCCAGCTCCTTCTCTGGGCTCTGGGATCCAAAGCTCCTCCGGGGTCTTCAGGACCCATCTGGGAAGGTCTCATCTGCCCAGTGCTCCTGGAGTGTGGGCTGCTGCATGACCAGATCTCTCTGGAAACTCGTCACTAAGGCTGGTGCGGGCAGGAGGTGTGAGGGCACAGGACAGTACACCACCGCTCCCCAGCCCAGCAGGGAAAACATTTGCAGGCAAGCCCTTGGGTGTTCCCGAATCCTGGAGGCTTTGGAAGTCACGCTGGGATGATGGGGGTAAGAGCTCCTCAGTCAGACACCTCTGACCTTAGGCCTGCCATTTATTAGCTGTGTGATGTTCAGCAAGTCACTTCAACTCTCTGAGTCTCCATTTCCCTACCTGAAACACAGAACTGAGAGTATGGCCCTATGAAGACAGATGTGTGAGGTCTGCATGGAAAAACTTAGCTCTGAGTAGGCGCTCAGTAAACAGAACTATTTCCCATCATTTGATGACGTATGATGAAGTTGCCTTTAGGCAAGGGAGGAGAGGAAAATTGCACAAAGGAATATTACAAGGTGTGCAATAATCTTTGAAATGGTGTCTAAGGATCAGGACAGATCGCCTCCCCCACCTCCCCCGCTTCCCCAGCCTCCCCCGCCTCCCACGGAGTCTGTGATGGTGTATACACTTGTGTGCACTTCTAGCATGAGAAGCCACCTCCCCACCTGGCTGCCCAAAGCAGGTGTGCCCGGTCTGAAAGGGAGGTCAACATGTTAGGCATACAACTCCTGCCTGCATCTCCTCTTCCCCCAAAGCCTAACTCCTTTCAAAGAGACTCCCCGTTGAGGGAATGGGGGCCCCGCAGATCAGATCTGGCACATGAACCCTTAGGTCAAGGCCAGCGCAGGGCAGCTGCTTACCTGGGGCAGGCCCTTTTTCAGTAATGGTGAAAAGTCCTCTCTGGGTTTTGGACATGAACCCGGCTCGGGCACAGACATTGTTTGTCTGCTTGCAGCAAGAGACAGAGGCCTGCGGGGAGAAAATAAACACACTGTGTGTGAAGCCTTCCCTTTCTTTGACCTTGTTGTTGTGCCTGGATGAGGGGCACCTGGGGGTAAAAATCAAATTTAAACCCATCCTCAGAAAATAAGCAGATATGAGCGGAACAGGTCACACCAGCTGTGCGTTCACCACCACCCCAGGAGTAGAGGGCAATGAGTTTGTCACCACCACCAAGGGTCTAGGGGCCCAGAAAGCACAGAGGATGCTGCCCAGACAGCTGGTAGACCCAGCTGGGGATCTTACTCAAATGGTTTAATTTCTCTGAAATTGAGTTTTCTCATCTGTAAAATGGCTCGGATACGCCCTGCTGTAGTTGCTGCGGAGTGTTGTTGGGGTGGGGTTCGGGGGACAGGCGGTTGACACAAATCATCTGTGGGAAAGCGGTTTTTTTTAAATGTGTGTCATGCTACATATGAGAATTAGTTTTTCTTTTCTTTTTTTCTTTCTTTCTTTCTTTCTTTCTTTTTTTTTTTTTTTACAATTTTTATTCTTTTCAGAATACTTAGTCCTCCATATACCCACCCTAATTCCTCACTGCTCAAACAGTCCTACCCACGCAGGATTTGAGCTATACAAAGAAACTGTGTAATTTAAGATTATGATCGGGTCTGTAAGCACTATCTTGTCTTGACTTTTCTGATTGACCCGGGCAATATGCATTTGAGAGTGTCCAGTGTGTTCAGAGCTCTAAAAATAATTTTTTTGGGGAAAAAAAAGAACTCTGAGATCATCCTTATGTTACACATGAATCATAAATATTTTAAATGCCAATTTGCAGTCAGTTTCCTGTATTCATTAGATAAAAGATGCAATAAAAATCGTGCCTGCAATGGCTGGGGATATTTACTGAATGAGTGAAACTATTTGCTGGGGCCAGGATGGTTTGATTTTCTGTGATACTCCTTTGTCAAAAAAAAAGTTTCTCGAGAAATGCAGATGGCATTTTGATTTTGTGTTGACAAAGGCGGAGGAATTTAACTTTTCCCAGGGTCCTAATGGCCAGACTGCATGCAGAGAGGGCAAACAAAAAGATCAGATGGAACGGGCTAATTACTGGACACAGGGAGAGGAGCCAGGATGCCGGAGAGGAGGTAATAACACGGTAGCAAGGGAAGGGCCTCGAACAGAGCAGTGGCGGAATCACGGTAAGCAAAGGCACAGAGGCCCTGACAGCCCTCAAAGCAGTGTGGCTAACAGGATTACCGCATTTCTGCTCCTTGCCAGTTGACTCAACCTTTGTTCTCCGGGTCTGAAAAAAGCCTCCTGTAGACAAAACACCACTTCAGCTTTATTCCTCACCCAGACAGAAAAGCAACTGAAAAGGGGGACATTTTTGTATACACTGAGTGTGTGTCACTGGGTGATCTCAACATTAGACTAAGAAAATAGCTCCACTGGCAGACTGAAAAAGAATGGAAACACATTTATTGTATAGCCAGGGGAAAAATAAATTCCCAGGTACAATTAAGTAGCAAACACACCTGTACTGTGGACAGCATGACCCCAATACTGAGGGAAGGACCAAGGCGGGAAGAGAATATGAACAAAACTGCCCCTGGTTTTTGATGGTGGTTTGCTTTGGGGAGCAGAATTATTAGTTTCTGGTTCATGAATTTCTACAATGCTTGTTTTTATTTTATGATGAGCGTGTATTATTTTCAGAGCCACATTAGGACAATAATGAACAAAAAAAAAACGCAAACTAAAATTGATCTGTTGGGGAACTTCGTTCAACATCTTGTAACAACCTATAATGAAAAAGAGCATGAAGAAGAATATATACGTGTATAACTGAATTACTATGTTGTACACCAGAAACTAACACAGCACTGTAAACCAACTAAACGCCAATAAAATGAAAGAAAGAAAGAAAGAAAGAAAGAAAGAAAGAAAGAAAGAAAGAAAGAAAGAAAGAAAGAAAAAAGAAAAGAAAAGAGAAGAAAAGAAAAGAAAAGAAAGAGGAAGGAAGGAAAGAAGGAAGAAGGGAGAAAGGGAGGGAGGGAGGGAGGGAAAGAAAATTGATCTGTTGGCAGAAGGAGAGTTCTGACTCGGGAAATGGTCATTGCTAGATTAACAAAGAAAGTTCTCCCTCTGAAGTCATAAACATTTACTGCATGCTTACTGCACACCAGCCTTGAGCCAGGCATTGGAGATATGGAGCTGCCTACCTCATTTATTATCTACATTAACACCATGGAGTAGATATATAGCCCCATCTTACAGATCATAAACTGAGTCCTGAAAGGTTAAGAGACATGCCCAAAGCCACACACTTAGAAAGTGGCAGAGCTGAGATCTGAACCTGAGTCCATCCCTTAAGCATTAACCATACCGTTCTGCCTCAGTGACCACAAAGTGATGGGAACTGGCGAAGTGCTACACTTAAAAAAAAATTCTCTGATATGATTTTCCCTGTAAGAATCTAAAAAGTAAATGAATAGTGTCTGCAGATAAAGTATTAAATAATACACTCATTGTTACAGATGAGAACACTGTCCTGGAAAGGTTATGTGATAGGAGTGATTACAATAAGCACTGTCCGGGGCAGCGGTCTTCCCACTGCTCCATGCTGACTTCCCGGTTGCACACATTTCCCTCTGGGTTCTGCAAATTCCCTAAGAGACTCCTGCACAGCCTCAGGTAGCCACCGGGTACTCAGCAAATGCTAACTGGTGCACCCATTGCATTAAAATGCTATTTCCCAGAGCTCCCCACTTCTTTTCTATTTTAGTAAACCATCCATTTAATATATATCTAGCAAGTATATGCAGTGTGTTCTTACATTGTAATGGTTTGGTGCGGGAGTTTCAAATTTGAGAAATTTCTCGAAGCTTGGCAACTGGAACATGCTGGAACAGGAATTACTGAAGTCTTTCTTCGAAGCGAAACGTGACGGGATAGTGTATGCATTAGCTGCAGGGTATTTAGAAACGATGGTGTCCATTCGGGCTCGCTGTGAGAAGAGAGTCAAAGGAATCGGCATTGTCACATAATCTGGTGGCTCTAAAGGACAGATGTCAAAAAGACAGTGCCCAGCACCAGGTCTAAAAACATTTTATAAAAGGGGAAACTCTGGCAGCTAACAATGATAAAGTGACCTTGGGCTTTGAGGATTTGCTCTTAGAAAATGCAAGCTCAGACCTGTGTTAACTTCTGTAAACTAACTCAAATTATTCATCCTATGTTTCGGACTTGGCAAAAATAATTTTGCCATAAAAGCATTTCCACCCAATCCCGTTTCAGTCCACTTACACTTGACTCATCAGCTGTTGGGTGATTTATATGATGGGAAGCCGTAGACTTTCTTCTTCCAACCTTGATTTTCTTTTGAGTGAAACCTCACTTTTTGTTTCTAAGGTTAAATAATCTGAATTCCCTAAGTAACAAGTTTGCTTCTAACGTCTTAAAGGTAAAAGGCTCCTAGGCTTGCCGCCCACCCACGCCCCCAACCCCCCCAAATCACTGATTTCAGAAAACCCCACAATATTTTTGCTGTTTCAATGGAACCAATCCTACTCTTTCCGATAAGCCATGATAAAATATTTTCAGTTAAACCCACACACATACACACACACACAGAATCAATGTTTGCCAGGTGAGAAAGGACAAAAGCCATAAACACTAGTGATAACATCACCTTACCCTGGGATAGTATGGCAAGTATTGAGGTCTGATAAAACAAAATTTTTTTTTCATTATTTTATGGTTGAGAACATTGCCTTGGGTTTCCTCTGCTGGGCAAGGGTCAGTAACAACATAAGCACCGGAGGTGGGGGAGGCTGGGGGAAGGCACTGGTGCCCACGCCTGGTTTACGGGCCACCAGGGGTACGTGGGTGGATGTGCCACCAGAAGCAGGCGTATTCTTGTCCAGAATCTCAGCTGTTCAGAGTCTCACCCGGGTTCGAGTCCCAGCTCTGCCTCTTCCTCCTAATTGTAAGGACTCATCGATGTTCCCAGAAGTGACATCACCCGAGCCTTGGACTCACTTTACCTATTCATTTGGGCCAACAGTTAACCAAGTACTCTCCACGGGTTGTTGCAATGAATCCTCATGACAGCTCGGGGGGAGTGGATACTGTGATCATCCCCCCTTTACAGATGAAGACACTGTATTTCTTCAGCTAGCTTCCAACATTCTCACCAGGCCATCGGCGTCCCCGATATGCCTCGGGTCAGACATACCATGAGAAAGAGGAATGGGCCCAGGGGAGTCACGGGCAGCGTGCTTTCATTTACAAGATGAGCTGCCGATAAACAGCTTGGGGAGGTTTTAGCTCAGGAAGAATCACTGCCCGAAAGCCCCGATGCCTGACGGTGTAGGCACACCTCTACTCCCTCCTTTTAACTTCCATGAAGCAGGGTGGCGAGGTCAGCCCTTCCTAGGTACTGCTGTTTGTAGCGTGTCTATCCTGAGCCACCCAACAGAGTGGGTAGGCGTGTTTTTCCAAAGTGCTATTTCCTAAAGCATGTTCTTGGCATTCCAGTCCTATGAGATAGGGTGTGTTGGTGGTAGCGGCAGCAGGCAGAGAGTTCCAGGGCCAAATACACGTTGGTGTAGTAAATACTCTGAGAAGGTCTGAATTAAAGAAACCTGTCTATTTGTGTTTAAACAGACTTTCCCAATCTTCCTCCATCATAGAATCTTTCTTGGTTTAGAATACCTATTAACATACTCTTTGGGAAAAATGGTTCTAAAAAATTCCCATTTGAGGCAAAGATTCAAAAAGCATCATAATAGAATTGGTCTCAGCATCTAGCTAAAGTGAGCCTCACCCACCAACCCTCCGGCCCCTTTCTTTTAATTGCCAGGACTATGGTCCCCAATCTGGCCACATGCTGGCATTTATGAACCTCTCTCCAGCACATCCTAACTCTTCCTGAACCACTCCTGCTACCGTGCAAATATAGAGATGCCATAAGTCTCCCCCGACCTGCCTCATTTAATTTCCAAGTCAGCCCTCTGAATAATTCTGGAGCAAAGCCTTGGAATACAGAAGCTCTTCAGTTTATTTGGACTTAGACAGATGACAAGTCCTCTCAAAAGCTTGGGTACATTTGTTCCAACAGTCTTCAGGAAGCTTCTAAAATATATCAACCCACAGAGTTTTTTGGTCAGCCTCACCCAGAGTCACAGTGCTCCTGGCCTCCAGTGTCAGTAAGCAGGGCTATTTTTAATTCTCTCGGTGTCCTGGGATCCAGAAACAGGAGGTGCTGAACATGAAAGTCACCAAAAGAAGGGGTGGAGGAATTAAACTCCAATCTAGTTCAGAAAGGAATAAGGCGAGTGGGGCCAGGGGTCTCTGGATGGATCTCCACCAACCGCGGAAGGCCCTGCTCAAAGATACAGGAACTTAAGTGTTCATACAGGGAACAATGTTCAATATCTCAGGGAACTATGTTCAGTATCTTGTAATAACCTTTAATGAAAAAGAATATAAAAACGAATATATGCATGTAGATGCATGACTGGGAAATTGGGCTGTACACCAGAAATGGACACGTTATAACTGACTGTACTTCAATTTAAAAAATAATAAAATAAAATAAAATAAAAAATTAAGTGTTTATAAGTGTAAATACAAATTCCCATATCTGTCACGTCAGGGAGAGAAAGCCTGAACAACTCAGTGTCTGCCTTCTCTGGGGTTTGGTCTGAAGTTTACAAAGACCTGAAGACTGATTAGATCTTGTCACATACACACATCTTCCCTTGGGCTCCTTCTCCTCCAGACAGCCCGGCCTGATCCATTTGGAAAGTTACTGCACCTAAAACCTAGCAGGCAATTAATTGATGGTGTGCTCTGACTCAGTGCCTCCTTTGGCACCAGGCGGGAATGGGCGGTGCCACTATTTGGCAAAGATGTTCTAGAAGAGAAAACCAAGGTGTTGCAGGAAGTATTGCTTGTGACTCAGGTGGTAACAATCATAACATTTAACATGTTTATAATGCTCTGCAGTTTCAAAGAGTATTTCCCTCATTGCAACGTTAATTTGCCCAGCGCCTCCAGGGAGTCTCCACCATATGAGGCAACTAGGACACAGAGGGTGACGTGCTTGAGGTCACATCAAGAACCCACAGCTGAGTCAGGATCGGGTCTTAAGTCTTGGCTCCTGTGCCAGGCCGTGGTGAGACGGCACTTCTTTTGCCCATGTTTCTGAGTCTCTGTACTCGTAGGGCTTGGAGCAGAAGCAGAGGTAGAGGCGTGGTGGTTCTGTGGACTCACAGGGGGCTTGCGCGGCCCCAGCGTCTTTGCTAATGGGGAATTAACTCCAAAGTCGGTTTGCTCCTCGAGTATTCAACTTTGCCAAGCTCAAATTCCAATAAGTGGCTGCCTTCAGTGTGTCTTAAATGGTCTCTTTGTGTGGTTTAAAAAAAAATCAACTCCAGGGTCAGGCATCATAATACATTTTTACAAGAGATTATTATAACTTTTAAAGGGACAGGCAGCACGTGTTTTGCTGATGCCGGAGCTTGGGTTTGCTTTCCTTTTCACTCTCCCGTCTCAGCTAGCCTTACCCTACTTTGACCTTTTTCCCTTGTTGTATCTATTTTTCTCGCCCATTGATAAATGTTCAAATAGAGACTATCCTTGCCCGGGTCTGGTCAGGGACGTTGGCACTTGGTTTAGCTACTTGATGGTTAGAGCCTTCCACAGAGACAAAGCCCCATATTTTACAAAGAAGAGAAATGAGGAGGAGAGGGATATTTCTAAATGTCCAGCCTGCTGCCTGCTTTCTTTTTGGGCCTATCAGATTTCTCCATGATGAATAATCCAATTAGACTAAGGAAGGAAAAAGTCATATTAGGGCAAGATGTATAATAATAGCATTTTCCTATGCCTGAAACTCTGAGGAAAGCATTTGCTAGTTCATTCCATGAGGACAAAACTGGTTTTGGATGATCAGGTCCTGAATATTTTTCTCACTTCTCTTCCCACTCCGGCAATGCGTCGCAGTGGAAAACATTACTTAAAGAAATAGGCTCCAATTTACCTGCATGAAATCTGAGGAAGCAGTTACTCTCCTAATTGGAACCATGGGCCTTTGGGGAGAAGGGACTGGATGTCCAACATATGATTATGCAACGAATGAAGGAAAGTACTGGGCAGTTAATGCCCTCATTGGGAGAAGGGGATCTCACCATGGAGGGGAAAGTGCACGTCCCTTTCTTAGACAACGAGACACTGTCGAACACTGGGGATTGGTGAGTGACGTTGTAGGATCCAGGACCTGGGATGCCATCCTGAAAGGGAAGAGAAACATGGTGTCATCGGGATACTTTCAATTCCGTGGTGCTTTTCTGCAAGCTTTACATCCATTAACGCTAAGCCTTACTGTCATCCTCTGAGACAGGCACCACTGCCACTTCCCGGCTGACAGCTGGCTCCACCATTTCCTGACCTGCCCAGACACCATTTCGGTTAACAAGCGCTGGGGCTGGGATTCCAACCCGAGTTTGAGACCCCCAAAGCCCTTGCTCTTTCCACCATGGTGTACTGCATTCTAGAAGAACTGGTTAAAGAAATGAGCACAAAATGGGGTCCTGAGCATGGCGGATGTGCGGGTCAGCGTGTGTTGACTGGGTACGCCAAACCCACGGCAAGGGAAGGGTGACCGATTTCACGCTAACCACACCCCACCTGACTCAGCTTCCTCCTCAGCCTTTCAGAAGAGAAACCAGGGAGTGTTTGTTTATAAAGCAAAATGAAACAAAAACAACCTTCATCCCAAACAAGAACATTTCTAACTCTCAGACAAAGAGAGGCAGGCTCATGGGGCTCAAGTGCTAAGTGATGCAGGTATGTTAGGGAGGAACAAACAAAAGCTTGGTTTCTAAGCTCATTTCTGCTGTTGCAGGTAATCGGGCTTGCATCTCATTTCCCATGCTAGTCACCAGGGGGAGGTAAATGTTGACAGAGGTTGGCCAAGCAAGTGGCGTGAAATGATAAGGATGCTCCACTGTCTCCAGAGTTTCCAGAGTTTACTGGGTGCCTGGTTGGTGCCAGGAGCTTTTCAAAGGTTGTCTCATGCTATTTCCCCGGTAAGGAAGGGATGTCCCCATTTTATAGATGGAGACACTGGGGCACACGAAGATGAATTTTCCCAAAGCCCAGCTGCTGTAAGTGGCAGCACCTGAGTTCAGTAGCACGTGATGATGTACACAAGCCTCGCAGTAAGTGGGAGTATTACCAGGTCCATTTTAAGGAAAGTGGGTCCACAGCTAGTGGGGGAGAGCAGATTTGAACCCAGGCTGCCTGACTCATGAGCTTGCTAACTCCAACATCTGCCATCCAGGGTCCCATCTCCACCATCCCTACTACCACCCTCAGAGCAGAAAGAAAGCTTAAAGTACCATCAGGGCCTTCAAGGACTCTTCAGTCTGGCCCAAGCAGAACTTTCCTTTGTGGAGGGGAGAGCTGATTCACCCAGCAGATCACCACCTGCGCTCGACATCCAACTCAGTTTTCTGAGCCACTGGAGGGAGATGTCCAGCTGTGGAGAATTCAAGCTTTCTCCTGAAACTGCTAGAGGAGTGGATGGCTCTCCAGGAAGGCAATAAACATCCAACCTTTCACCTTTGGGATAACAGTTCACGTGACTAATGGTTCCCGACGTTGATGAGTTCAGCCTCTCAGCCTATCCCAGGGAGCAAGAATCCAGGTCACAGCTGCTGTGAACTCAGCCAGCCCTCGGCTTCTTGGCCAAGACCACCTCAGAAGGCAAAAACCAAATAAACAAACCAAAAAAAACAAACAAAACAAAAACAAGGTGGGGGGTTGTTGTGGGGAGGGAGAAGGGAAGAGAACTGTTTATTTGAGCTCTGCTGACTGCCTGCTGAGTTTGCTCTGGGCTGCGGCTAACCCTGTTGTCCCCTGTGCCTGCCTCACAGAGTGAGGATCAAATAAATCAGTACATGTCCCACCAGCCTCATCATGACTTGCCTTCGAGTTGTTACAACAGCCTCAATGGAGCCAGGACCCCCCCTTGGGGGTTGAAGACCTTAAGAGTGGGATCGAGCAAGAGCTGACTGACTGCTCTGTTCACATCCCCCACCCAACACACATCTGGGCAACATTTGGCTGAAATGCACTTTGAGAGCTCTTCTGAAGGATCAAAGTCCCAAACAGGCGGCCTCTGCATGTGCCAAGGATGGGTCACAGATCAACGTTCACTTGACCCTGGGATAGGTTTAGAGAGGTAACGAAGAGGAGGGGAAGAGGCAGAGCAGGGTATTTACCTCCTCACCCCAGACATCTCCTTAGGTAATGGGAGGCCCTAACGTCCCACAGCCTGGAGCCAGTCACATCTGCACACAGCCTGGATTTGCTAGTCCTGATTCCATAGATTTTGTCCAATTAATACTTTCAGGTTTGTTAAACCATTTGCAGGTTGGAAAATGAATTCTCTGCTGGGTCATTGGCTAAAGCCCAAACTCAAGCTGCCTTTTGACTCTGCGGGGATATTCCTTTGGTCTATTTTGGGGGTGGTTAGCTAGTGTTCTTGGGAGTGCACAAGATGAACGAAAACTAGGAGTTTGCTGAAGGGCTAGAGGTATATGACAGAGGAGGACACGCCTGAGGCAGAAGCAGAGCCCTGCCCCGTGGTTAACTCACTGGCAAAACCACACAGGAATCTGGGGCTCCTGAGGGAACCATTTCCTTTTACAAGTGCCTCTGGTCTTAGGGCCTCAAGACAATGTGCCCATCCACCCTGCTGACTTTATTGAAGGTTACAAAGCCTTTTCTCAGGCTGTTGGGGCCAAAGTGGTGAGAAGAGCATGGACCAGAAGCAGAGAGTTGGCATCTGCCTCCAGGCCATGTCCCCTCACCTGTGAACCTGCAAAGAGGCAAGTGGGGGGACCAAGCCCTGTGGTTTTCAACTGCACTCCAGGCCTCCACGAGGAACCCAGGGAAAGGGGGCCAGAGTTGGCAGCGTCTTCAGGAAGCAATTCCCCTTTACCTGCTCCACCAACGGGCCTCAGCATGAGATGCTGTCACAGAAGGGGCCCCTCTGCTGAGCCCAGGGACTTAGGGGTCACTGAAACCCTTCTGGGTCCAACTATCTACAACTCTGAGATGTGCCCCTTGTAAGACACCCTCCCTTTCTGTCCTCTCCCTTCCGTCCAACCTGCCCCTCCAACTCCATACACTTATGTCTGGCATCAGAGTTTCCATGTCTCTGATCACAGAGAAGGAGAGAGAGGTGCGGAGTGTACTTCAAGCAAGAAAATGAACATGTTTTTGTTCAGAATCAGGGAGGAGGTCAGAAATGAAAGGTCCCTTGGAGCCCCCTAAGGGAGCAACCAGGAAAACGAGGATCAATTCTCTTGAGGAGATTGTTTCTTAGTGGCCTGGGTGAAGAGCAGGTGTGGGGGAAGCAGGAGCGGTCGGCACACTGGCCACTTGAGCAGGTGGAAGTGGGGACCAGGTCTCAGCCCATCGCTGGCCTGGCTGGGCTGGGAACACTCAGACAAGAGAAGCTAAACTCGCATCTTCAAAGCATCTCTCGACAATGGTATCGTCTCTGAGAGCATCCATGCTCCTCTTGTGCAGAGCCCTGCTCTTCCTTAAATCTGGTATCAGCCCATTAGCAGCCCCTCGAAATCCTCGGAATGGCATGTGGGCAAAGACTCAATTCAATGAACACGTACTGAAGCCTGCTGTGCACCAGGGCCGGCGCTAAGGCACAAGGATACAGGCACAGCCCGTTGGCAGCTATCATGGTCCAGGAGTGGGATGGAGGAAATGCAACAGAACAGTGCAGGATGGATGGGACGTGTTCCCGTGACTCGATGAAAAAGGCAGAGACTTGAATTGGGATCATTCATTCGATCCACTTTTGAGGGGATCTGGGGTCTGGAAAGGACAATGACTGCTGCCCTAGCAGTTGCGGGCGGGTGGAGACCAGGCGTGCGCACCCATCACCACCACGCCAAGCAGAAGGTGGTCGGGGCAGACAACGGGCTGTGGGCGTTCAGAGGGGGATGTGCTTGCTTCCGCCCCAGGCAGAGATGCCGGGAAACAGTCTGGGAGCAGCTACCTGGGTCGTCCTCGCCCTGCCTGACCCTGGCTGTGAGAGCTGCTTAACCCCCTTTGTGTCTCAGGGTCATTATCTGGAAAGTGGGGATAATGACAGGACTGAGCTCACAGGGTCATTATGGGGATTAAAGGAGTTAATAAACGCGACGTCTTCCGGGGGAGCCTGGCACGCTGTCAGTGTTTGGTATTTCCGCATGCGTGTCCTGCAGACCGCTGAGGAAGGGGCGCTGCTGACTGATACAGACGATGTGGAGAGTCCAGACTTCCAGAGCAGGAAGGTCGGGGAGACCCCACTGTGGTTCAAACATGCAGCTGAGTGCACGTGTGGGGAAACCATCCCCTTGAACGTAGTGGTCTCTGCAAACTGAACTTCCTTTCATTTAAAAGCCTCTGATGTATGAAATATCCCTGGTCCAGTACCTTATCAAGGTAATATGTGACCAGTACTAACTTTGTACAGTTTCATCACAAATTAAACACTGGCCTGCTTAACACCAGGGAGGGTTGATTAACTGTCAGCCTGTGGCTGAAATTAACATGTATTTTTAAATTTCACATCAAGAGGATGAGGTGTCTGTATCCAACCAGTATTCATTCATTTGCGCCTAGAAGGGCTCCATCAGAATTCATTTAGAATCATGGAACAGTCACCCCTAGCAAGGTCCTACCTATGATAACACCCTTATTTTTAAGATGAGGAGACAGAGATGCAAAGACTTTAAGTGGGTGTCCTCAGTGTTACACAGCTTGGGAGACAGTGACCACAATCCAGAGTGACATGGGGACAGAATCGGGTGGCCGGGCTATGCTCTGGCCCAGATTAGGCATGTCTCTTCATGTACGCAGAGTCGGCAGCACATCTGTAAATAATTGTAAAATGTTCAGGGAAGCAGACTTCAATTCTAGCAGCCAAAATTGCCAGTCCAGACACTGAGCTCAGTGAAAGATTCCTTGTACCCAGCGGTCGGAGTCTCGTGGGGAGTGTGAGGTGGACAGCAAGGCCCTGGTGTTTCTCTACGCAGTCGGACCGATAAGGTAAGAACGCATTTCAGAGGGCACTGATTCGCTGTGTTAGAGATGTGCTAAATGGGTCACAGGGCTAACATGAGGACACAACCGAGTTATGAGACCAGGCACAGGGTGTGTACGATTAATGTTCTAAGGGTGGTGAGATACCAGAGGTTTAAAATCTGCTTTGAATTGTATTGCCTCACTAAATTATTGGGTGATGTCAGGCAGGATTCTTAACTTCTCAATGCTCATTTCCCTCAGGAAAAATGAGAATAATGAGCATGGAATAAGACCTTTTTTGTCTGTTTTTATAGCTCGAAGAAACTAAAAAATCATAATCATCCAAATTGTACATTTCAGATGAGGAAACTGAAGCCCAGAAAAGTCAAGTGACTAAAGGCACACGGCTAGTAACAGAGCAGAACACAGGGGACCTAGTTTATGGACTCCATGCCCTTTCCACAGAGTTCTATACTTATCTACAAAACTCTTTCAAATACTTAGATGAAAGTGTTCACGTTGTGAAACCAATGTGACCACATTAGAATCTAATTTCTGGGCTCTTTCCCTTTGTATCTGATGCTGCCTATAGCTTTGGCTGGCTGACACCTTGGTTCCTTCAGCAGAAACATTTCTGAAAAGCTATAGTACTTTAAAATGCCAACTGTAAAAGCCAGATTATTTGGTTTCTGGATGTGAGTCTTCAGAAGGAGATCATGTAGAATCGGGCCTGCACACCTGACCTGACGTCTTCTGAGGACTTTTCAGATACACGCTCTCTGACTTTCACAGATCAATTGCACGGCTCTGTAAACCACAAAGGGAGGTGTGGTGCAGTGTGTGGAAAGAGCATGAGGCTTTGGAGTGAGCTCGGCCTGGGTTTGAGGGCTAATTCTTTCAGCACTGATTCAGCAGATATTTACGCTGCGCCTCTTACGTGCCAAGCCCTGTGTGGTGCGACCTCGGGCGGGTCGTTTAACTTCCCTAAGCTTTGGTTTCCTCTTCTGTTAAATTAAGGTACTAAACCCTTCCTTTTAGCATTGTTCTGAGGATTAGAAATATGGTCTAAAAATGATTTCACACACAGTAGGGACTGGTAAATGGTGGCTGTTATTATTTCAGTTTGAGGCTGGGCCGCAAATATCCTAGAGATGGACAGTATATTACAGTTAAATTGACAAATAGAAAACCAGGCAAAAAAGAGACAGAGAGGCAAATATACAGTTAAAACATAGACAGAGAATCCAAAGAAAAAAGAGAAAAACTGAGCAAATATCTTATTTGTCACCTTTGGAGAAAACCTACAAATAACTAAAAATGTGTGTGTGTGTGTATGTGTGTATACACACACAACATATTCTTTATTATTTGCTTTCTTGGCATCCTAACCTATCAGAAGTGGAAGGAACTTAAACATTCCCCAGCTCAGTGTTCCTGTTTACAAAGGAGGAAACAGGCCAAGGGGCACAGGGACTGGGGAGGCCACTCAGCTCCTTCCTGACTCACCTGCATTCAGGACCCAGATTCCCCCCCACCGCTCCCTCTCACCATCTTGGCAAGGTGGTAAGATGAAAAGCATTTTTAGAATGCAGCAAAAGGTAACCCAGATCATGACTCTGCCAAAAGAATGTTATTCAAAAGGTCTTACTTAGTTCAATAGATAAAAGAATGAAGATTTAAAAACCTCTGATGCCTGCGAGTGGCACCCCCTGCTGGTGACAGAAGAGCGCGTCCGAACTGGGCCTATAGCCAGTGAAATTCCAAAATAGGTGAGGACCCATCAGGAGCCAAGCAGAACTTTCCAGATCAAGAGGAAAAGAGACACAGATATTTGGGAAGAGGGAGAGGGTGGGGGAAATGCAGGAACAGTTATAAGCCATTGTTAAAGGAATAGGCGGGGCTATCGTCACAAAAGTAACTTTACATGTGTTGCACTCATTTATTTTTCCTCTTTACGTAATTGAAAGAGTCTTGTTATTTCCTCCCCTGTTTTGAGTGGGGGTGGGGGAGAGGAGGATTTTTACCTCTTACTTTATACACCTGGGATATTTTAATTTTTAATTTTTAAAATATATTTCTTCTTTAAAAAAAAAAGTTTGGTTTCAGGGTGGCCCCAGACATCTGGGCATACTGTTTTTCCCTGGATTTAGTGTCTTGGCAGCTCCTTCTTACAATCCAGAGCACACAATTTGGAGAGGGTGCTGCAGCTCCTTGGAGGACACTGCCCTCTACTGGTCACAGGGACAGACGCACCAGCCAGACTCACCTGCCTGTCCCAGGCGGCTAACATCCAGACTGAGTAAAGACTCTCTAAGACAATGCCATTACCTCTTTATGATAAAATCTCCTGGCTTGACTATTAAATCCTTTTTTTTCTGATTCTGGAATTACCGAAGGCTGATATTTAACAGGAATGGAGGACTGTGTTGGATATGCAGCAGTAAAACCTAAACAAAAATAAGATAAAAATTAGCACAAAACAAAGAATTGACAAGTGCATAAAATCCAGGGCTATATATTGTTTTATTTTAAGTGGAATAGAAGAGAAAATTGCCTTTTGACAAGAGATAAACATGAAACTGGGTATTTTTTTTTTTAAAAAAAGAACCCCTTGGTAATTTTTGGGTTTTCCCCTCTCCAGCTCTTAAGCTGGTGAGGCTTGGTTCCATAGCTGAAGCATATTGTTCCAGGGAAGAGGAAGGATCTGTTCTAGCCAAGGAGGGGGACACAAAACCACCTGGAACAGCCTTGGAAGAGGAGCCGGGTTGGAGGACACAGCAAGAGTCCTGACTCGCCCGGCCCAGAGGCACAGATCAGCAAAGCACCAGAAGGATTCAGAGAAGTCAGGAAGTCCCAGGGCAGGGCCCTGGGAAAAACCTGGGTAAGTTTAGGTTTCTGCTTTGAGCAGACATTGGGTGAAAAAGCAGAATGGGATCATTTATAGAAAACCAAGTGAAATTTATATACGTTGGGGTAGTGACGTATAAATGATGTATAAACTCCCCCTCCACCAGCTCCCCACACGTGGAGGAACGTCCACGGTTGTTAAGACTCCGTGGGGAGCATCAGTCTGCACGGCAGGCTGACTACAAACTCTAACCTGTGAGTGTAATAGGATCTGATTCCACTTTTCCACGTTTGGCTGCTGGCATCCTGCCTCTTCCCCATTTTGCTCCACATCTGGGCAAAGTGATGAGGAGGCCCGAAATCTCCCTCTTTTGGTACCAGTAGGAAGTTCAGACCACGGCAAACCCCTGCCCTCACTCCAGCCTCATGTCCTAACCACAATAAAACCCCCGAGCCAGACTCCTTTCCCTGCTCTCTCTAGCCATGCTTGAACCAGATTAGGAAGTCTGCCCTGCTGTCCCCAGAAAGCCTCCCTGTGTGAGTAATAAACCTTCTCATATCTCCTCGATGTGTGTGTGGCACCAGCAGTCTTGACTTTAAGCCAAATTTGGGGGGGGGGTCCATGCTGACTTGGCAAGACGTCCACAACCGCGGGCCAAATGATCTCAGCATGAGAATCCTAACCCTCAGAGAAAATATGTGTGCAGAACTGGAAAAAAATAACCAAGACAAAGAACAAGGGGTGTATCAGGGTGGGAGTGAGGCTGCTTGGAAACTGTCTTTAAGGCCATTTCTCAGTTTCTGAGTTTTTGGAAAAACAAAACTGCTTTTCAAAGAGGAAAGCCCCACACCATCAGGGACCTCAGAAGGTGTTTATATGAACCAGCTTGGAACCGATGTGGAAACTGAGGCTTAGAGGGATGAAGTTACTCATGGGAATCACAGAGCCATTCAGTAGAGTAGCTGGGGTTCGAATGAGCCCAGGCTCTTCAAGTCTAAGCAGTCCTTCCTCTTCCAGGGTCTGGCCCACAGGAAGGACTCAATAAAAGAAGCAGCGAAAACATGGGGACAGCACGATCTAGCTTTCTTTGCCTGGGTTGAGGATGAAGCAAGTAAAAGAAGCAGAATATATGTTTGGTTAGAAGACATCTGGAGATATCAATAGATGGTATATTTATTCTTTTCCTCTCTTCTCCCTCCCTCCTACCCCCCCCTTCCCCAATTCAAGTGGGTGGCTGGCTCTGTATTTTTTCTCGAAGGAAGCTAGAGAGCCTACTAGAAAGCGGTAGATACAAGACTTCCTAGCTCTGGTTTCTAAAAGTCTAAGCCCACAGAACAACTGAGAGAGATTACAGAGGAGACAGAAAAGGAAGGGGGTTTATTTTAAAAAGGTAAAAGGAGGGACATTCCCCTGGGGGAAGGGAAGCTTCCTCTCTGACTGAAAAGGAGATCGAACACTTTGGCTTTTGCCCACGGCACAACGGCATGTATCAGAGCTACCTTCTTGATGAGAACAGAAAAACAGGATTTTAAAAAACACTCCATGTAACTGAACTTCCATTTCCAAATAAAATGGAACCTAGCTGGAAAAAAAAAGTTAAAAATGGACAAAATACATGAAACAATGGTTTTCAAGACATTAGACACCAGGCAACAAAGGATAGGGGTCCTTGGAGATGGGAAACAAATGAGGAAGCAAGAAGATTGCACCCAGATTACTGCCTTGAGAAAGTCTGCAGGCACAGCATGGAAAGGAGGAACCCAGGTGGGGCCTGGGGGTCTTCTTGAGTTGAAGAGATAAACCTGGGAGTCCAGAAAGGCCAGACGGTGCAGAGAACCGGAGAAGAGAGGGCTGCGCAGAGAAGGAGTTCTGGAGACCTGCACTGGGTTCCCTTCAACCAGTTTCCTGGGTACTGATCAGCACATGAATGTGAGAAAACTACCCAAGACTGGAGAAAGAATGCCCTGAAAGAATGAGAGTAAACGATGCCTGAACACTGGGAACAGGAAAAGGGTCAGAGTGGAAAACCGTAATTCATGGAATACAAGGAGAATACACAGAGGGGTTTTGCCTCAGAAACAGGGTAAAATTACCCCTGGACTAAACGCTGCTCTGGGTCCAGCTCACAAAGCTTAGAAGCAAGACTTGAAAAGATCAGACTGTTTCCAAGTAATTTAACTGCATCCCAGAATAAAGCACAAGAATTTATAGGACTACTGAAATATACAGCACCCAACAGGTAAAAATATCTCACATTCAGTAAAAAACTAATGGACGTGTGAAGAAGGAAGAAAATACAATTCATAATGAGGAGAAAACAGACAACTGATCAACACCAACTCAGAAATGATACAGACGATAGAATATAAGATCATTACATTATTATAATAATGATCATATTTGATATGTTCAAGAAGCTGGAGAAAAGATAGAACATACTAATAGGGACATGGAAGATATAAAAAAGATCCAAATCAATCTTTCACTCTACAGGTGAAAACTAAAGTGTCTGAGATTAAAAATACACTAGATGAGATCAACAGCAGACTAAATAGCACAAGAGAAAAAGACTAGTGAACTTGAAGACACTGAAATAGAAATTATCCAAAGTAAAACACAGAGAGAAAAAGGACTAAAAAGGTCAGAGTATCAGTGAGCTTTGTGAAAACTTTAAGGAGCCTAATCCACGTGTGATCAGATGTGGGAGAGAGGAAATAGAAAAGAGATTTCAAGAAAAAAATGGCTGAAATTTTCCAAATTTGATAAAAACCATAAACCCACAGATCCCAGAAAGTCAGTGAGCCTCAAGCACATGAAACAGAAATAAAACCAAACCAAGGCACATAATCACTGCGATAAAGAGAAAAATATTAAAATCAGGCAGAGAAAAAAGACACATTACATACAAAGAAACAAACATAAGGATGATAGCAGATGATTGTTAGAAACAGCATCTGTAAGGTACTGGAAGGAAAAGAATTGTCAGCCCAGAATCCTGTACCCGGTAAAAATATCTCTCACATTTGAAAGCAAAATAAAGACTTTTGAAGATATTAAAAGCTGAGAGAATTAATCACCAGCAAGCTGGAACTACAAGAAATGTTTAAAGGGAGTCCTTCAGGCAGAAGAAAAATGATCCTAGTTGGAAATCTGGGTCTACATGAAGGAACGAAGAGCTCCGGAAATGTAAATAATGTGAATATAAATTGATACATTTAGATGTAAGTATAAAGTGTAAATCGTTTTAAAAGTAATTGACAATTTAAAGCAGAATAATAACTCTGTATTGTAGGACTTATATGTGGAGGTAAAATGTTTGACAACAATAGCAGAAAGGCAAGGAAGGGAAAAATAAAAATAAACTGTGGTAAGGTTCTTCTGCTCTATGTGAAGTGTAATAATATCACTTAATGGTAGGATGTGATAAAGCTGAAGGTATGTATTACACACTCTGTGGCGCAGATCAACAGGCTTGTTCTATAAAGGGCCAGACAGTAAACAGCTAAGGTACCACAGGCCATACAGTCACTGTCGCAGCTGCTCAGCTCTGCTGTTACAGAGAGAAAGCAGCACAGACGACAGATGGCCAGAGACAACCGTGTCCCAGTAACATTTCATTTACAGAAACAGGCAGCAGAGGGGAGGGTATAGCTCAAGTGGTAGAGCGCATGCTTAGCATGCATGAGGTCCTGGGTTCAATCCCAGTACCTCCTCCAAGAATAAATAAATAAACCTAATTACCTCCCCTCACCAAGAAAGAAAGAAAGAGAGAGAGAAAGAAAAGAAAGAGACAGCAGGGGTCAGACCAAGCTCAAGGGCCAAAGCTTATCAACCTTTGCTCTAAAGTAACCACTAGCAAAACACTGCAATATTCCTGAGAAGCCAACAAAGGAGAGAAAATGAAACAACAACAATAAATACTCAGTACAAAAGAAGCCAGTAAAAGTAAATAAAGAACATATGTGACAAATAGAAAGCAAATCTATAGGTGGCAGGCTTAAACTCACATTCTAATAGTCATACTAAATTTAAATGGTCTAAATATCCCAATTAAAAGAGATGGTCAGATTGGATAAGAAACACCTAACTATATGGTGCCTACAAGAAATACACTTTAAATATAAGCCCAGGAATAGGTTGAAAGTAAAAGTATTGGAAAGGATAGGCTCTGCTGTCAAAAGAAAGCTAGATGTTAACAGCAGACAAAGCAGATTTCAGAGCAAAAAATATTACCTGCAATGAAGGGGGTAACTTCATAACGGCTAAGGTGTCAGTTCCTCAAGAGGATATAACAATTCTAAATGCTGATATGCTCAATAAAAGAAATTCAAAATAAAGGAAATACAAACTGATAGAACCACATGAAGAAATAGAACATTCCACAATTACTATCAGAGATTTCAAAGTCCCTCCCTCAATAATAAAGAAGTAGCTAGAAGATCAATAAAGATATACAAGATTTGAGCAATACTATTATCCAACTTGACCTGACATTTACAGAACAATCCACCTATCAGCTCTATACAACGTATTCTAGAAAACTGAAGAGAAAAAGACATTTCCCAAATGATTCTATGAGGCCAGCATTACCCTGATTCTAAAACCAGACAGAGTTGTTACAGGAGGTGAGGGGAATCACTACAGATCATTAACCTTCATAAATGTACAGGCAGAAGTTTTCATTAAAGTGTTAGCAAATTAAACCTGACAATATGTAAAAAAGATAAGATACCATGATCAAGTGAGGTTTATCCCAGTAATCCAAAGATAGGTCAACATTTGCAAATCAACGTAATTCACCATATTGACAAACTGAAAAAGAAAGATTGAATGATCATCTCAAGAGATGCAGAATGGACTCATATAACATGCACTCTCTTTTTCTCTGGCTTCTTTCACTGAGCACAATTATTTTGAGATTCATCCATGTTGAAGTATCAATCCTTAATTACCTTTTATGGCTGAGTAGTATTCCACGGTAGAGAAATGTGATAATTTTTTATCCATTTTGACAGAAATTTGAATTGTTGCTAGATTGGAAGTATTTCAAAGAAAGCTATTACCAATGTTCAACAACAAGTCTTTGAATGGACCAAAGTTTTCCTTTCTCTTGGGTAAATACCTAGCAGTGGAATGGCTAGATCTTATGTTTAACTTTTTAAGAAACTGCCAAATTCTTTTCCAAAGTTGTTGTATATTTGTATGTCTCTGCCATTAGTGTATGAAAGTTACTGTTACTTCACATCCTCATCAACAATGGGCAGTCTTTTTAATTTCAGCCGTCTCATTAGATGTGTAGTGGTATCACATTGTGGCTTTAATCTGCATATCCCTAATGACTAATGATGTTGAGCATTTCTTCATATGCCATTTGCTGTTTATCTTTTTTTGGGGGGGGGTGAAGTGTCTGTTTAGTAAGTGGAGAAAGCAGTCTGTAAAATTCAATATTCTTTTATTATCAAAAAAATGCTAGCAAACTAGGAATAGAAGCCAATTTCCTTAATCTGATAAAACGTATCTATGACAAAGTCTACAACAAACATAATACCAAAAGCTTTCTCTTGAGATAGAGAATGAAACTAGGTTGACTGTTATCATACTTCTATTCAACACTGTACTGAAGGCCTCTAACCAGCACAAAGGTCAAGAAAAATAAATAAAAATGTATAGATCAGAAAGGAAGGAAATAAAGCTGTCATTATTCATAGATGCCAAGACTGTATATGGAAAAATTTCAAAACAGCCTATAGACAACCTACTAGAGGTTATGACTGAATTTAGCAAGGTCAATATAGAAAAATCAATTAATTTTGTTTCTATACCAGCAGCAAACAATCAGAATATGAAATTTAAATTGTACCACTTATAATAGCATAAAAATCAAATATCTAGAATAGATACAAAGAAAATATGCAAGGGCTCTATGTAGCAAACTAAAAAAAAAATTATTGAGCAAAATTTAAGAAGACTTAAATAAAAGAAAGGATACACATGGTTGGAGAACTCAATATTGTAAAAATGTAAATCAGCCCCTAAACTGATTCCTAGAATCAATGCAATCCAAATCAAAATGACACAAGGGATTTTTTTTATAACATTAATGTGCTGATTCTAAAATTTATATAGAAGTGAAATAGGGCCAAGATAAACATAGTACATAGTTGAAGGACTTACACTATTAGATTAAAAATTTGTTATAAAGTTACAGTAATTAAGACAGGGTGGTATTTGAAAAGAATAAGGACCTGCATATACACAGACACTTGATTTACAGCAGTGACAGCACTGCAGAGCAGCAGAAAAAGAATGCTCTTTCAATAAGTGGTTCTGGGTCAACTGGATATACATACTGAAAACGAGGATGTGGACATCTATTTTACACCATACACACAAACAATTCCAAGTGAGTTGTAGGTCTCAATGTGAAAGGTTAAATAATACAGTTACTAGAAGAAATTATTTGGGGATAGGCAAAGATTTCTTAAATTGGACAGACAGACTTACACACTAACTATAAAGCAAAATATTGATTAAATGGACTATGTTAAAATTAAGAGCTTCTATTTATTAGCACACCATTAAGAGAGTGGAAAGGAAAATCAGACTGAAGGAAGAAATTTACTTTACTGACAGCCAACAAATAGACACATTTTTAGAATGTTATCAAGAACCCCTAAGAAAAGAAAAACTCAATAGAAAAAAATGGGCGAAAAACTTGAACAGTCACTTCTTCAAAGAGAATATCCTAAAAGTCAGCCTATATATGAAATGGTGCTCAATCTTATTCAAAGGACAGTGCAGATTAAAACCACTAAAATGTTGGTGAGGATGTGGAGAAACTGGAATTCTTATATACTGCTTGAGGACATAAAACTTGCATAACCACTTTGGAAGACAGTTCAGCATATCAGCTAAGCTGATCCTAAACATACCCTATGACCCAGCAATTCTACTCCTAGGTATAGACCCAAAGAATATAAACATATATGTCCCGAAAGAAATGAACAAGTATAGCTATAAAAGCTTTTAGTCATAGTAGTTCAAAACTAGAAATAATCCAAATATCCTTCAGTAGCATGATGGCTAAAAAAAAATTGTGGTATATTCAAAGAAAAAATTCATAGCGATGAAAACAAACTAATGACTGATACATGAAATATGAAGTTAAATCTCTAAAACATGAGAAAAAAAGCCTGAGAGAAAAGAGTTCATACTGTATGATTCCAATTAATACAAAGTTCAGAAACAGACTAGGGTAAGGAATGAGATTAGCGGTCAGGAGAGCTGTAGTGTTTACATTTACAGAGAAGGGGGATAATGCCTGGGAAGGGACAAGACAAGGGCTTCCAGGATGCTGCTGGTAGTCCATCTCTGGGTCTGAGAAGTGATTCCATAGGTGGTGGTTTCTTTGTGACCAGTCATTAAGCTGTACAATTATGCTTTGTTTCTGAATATATATATATATATATAAAGCTCCTAGTTAAAAGTATTAAAGAAAAAGAGAGAGCACTAAATCAAAAACGGGAGGAAGAAATAGAGGTCCGGCTGTTGGTCTGAGAGCAGCAGGGACGCTAGAAGCCCACCAGAGAGGCAGTTATACCCCCAAGAGAAAAAGCAGTGGACTGAGTGAGGCTTTGCGCTGAAGTTTCCAGCCTCAGCAATGATTCCTAAGCCCCGGGGGTAGTCGGGGATTAGCGCACACTAATAAAACCAAAGGGAGTACATGGGCTGAGACAGTGGCGCTCTCTCACCTGTCTGGGTGGGTGACCTATGATCTGGGTACCTCTCTCCTCCCTCACCCAGCCCCCCATCATCACAACACCTCTTTCTACTGAGAAAGATCAAAACCTTGAAACAAGGAGGGCATAGGATTTGTGCCCAAAATGGCTGGAGTTATACGTCCCAACAACCCAGCAGAATGGGGGCTTGGGTTCAGTTTTAGGAAATAAAGAAAGAAAGATCGCTTTCTCCTTTTCCCTCTCCTCATCCTTGCTTCCCATAGTTTCTTCCTAATCATCACCCGAGAGGGAGTGGGGCAATGACCAAAGCAATGTATTTGATATCCTTAAGGCTGGTCTTGTGGGCATAACCCAGGATTTACTGTAGTCCCCTAAATTTTGCTCTTCTGTACCAAAAGGGACATATATCAGGAGCTCTCTCCTCCCCACCAAAGACCTCTGTTATAAAATTCACTAAACCTTTGTGTACTTTGTTAGCCTTTCGGGAATATTTTTTGCCAGGATGTTGGTCTTTTTGTGTGGAGTTGTCCATCTTAGCAAAGTTCTATGATATATTCCATTTGCTTGATGAAAAACTTGACTACATGTTCTTCTAAGCACCTGAAATAGCAAAATACAGCATTTATAGAGATCATTTCACATGCCTGTTAATTATGTTGATTGAGTTCTGCTGTATCTGCAGGATAAACCAAGAAATCTTGTGGGTAGAGGCTGATTTTTACCAAGTTCTATGACCCCAAATCTCAAACATATTGCACTACCCTCAGTGGGAACTCTGTAAGTGTTCACGTTGATGTTGTTTACAGAGCTCCTTAAGGCTCGAGTTTTTTAAATTTATCTTTATTGAGATAACTGACATAAAACATAGTTCATCAGTTCAAAGTATCTAATTCTAAGTTTTGGCAAATGTTTACAATTGTGTTAGATAACACCACAATTAAGATATAAATATATCCATTCCCCCAGAAAACGTTCCCTGTGTCCCCTTGCTGTCAATGCCCTCCCAACCCTGGCATCTGGTAACCACTGCTTTGCTTTCTGTTACAATAGCCGCCTTTTCTAGAATGTCACACGCGTAATCATACAGTATGTACCGTTTTGTGTCTTTTTCACTTAGCACAATGCTTTTGAGATTCTTCCATGCGGTAGCATGTATCAATAATTTGTTCCAGTTGCTACACGTCCTCACCAACACGTTTGGTGAGTCTTACCAATTTTAGACATTCCAGTGGTTGTATGGTGGTGTCTCATTGTCATTTTAATTTGTATATTTTCATGTGCTTGTTTGCCTTTTGTCTACCTCCTTTGGTAGACCATTTTTTTTAAACAATTGGGTTATCTTATTTTTGAGTTGTAAAAGTTCTTAATATTCTGGATACAAGCCCTTTATCGTAGGTGTTTTGGAAATATATGCTCCCAGTCTGAGGCTTGCCTTTTCATTTTCTTAACAGTGTCTTTTGAAAAGCAAAAGTTTTAATTTTGATCAGGTAGAATTTATCAATTCTTTTCTTGCTGTTTTTCTCTCTGTGCTTCATTTGGATACTGTATATTATCTTCAAGCTCACTGATCTTCTGTAGTGTCTAATCTGCTGTTAATCCCATCTATTGATTTTTTATTTCAAATATGCACTTCTCATCTCTAGAAGTTACATTGGGGTTCTTTTAAAATCATATTTTCTATTTCTATCTCCATCTTGTTCATATTTTCCTTTACATATCTGAGCATATTTGTAAGATTCATAATATCTGCTTTAAGGTCCTTTTCTACAAATTCTATGATCTCTGTTATTTCTGGGACTGTTCTTACTGATTGAATTTTTCTTATTGATTTTTCTCTTGCACATATGTTATATTTTCCTGTATCTTTTCAGGTCCAGTAATTTTATATTGGACACTGAACATTGTGAGTTTTACACAGTTGGGAACTGGATTTTGAAGTATTTCTGCAGAGTGTTGCTTTTTTTTTTTTTTCCTGGCACAATTTTCAGCAACTTACAGACCCATTTCAGCTTTCCAGCTTTTTAAGCTTTGTTATGGTAGAATCAGAACAGCTTTTATTCTGGGGATAATCTATCTCCACCACTAAGAAGTGATGTTTCCGTGGACTCTACCAAATCAACCCCCATCTAATACAGTGTCTCTCTACTCTGATTTATGGGCAGGCAAATATTCTCAGTTCTGTGTAAGTCTGTCCCAGAAATGGTTCAGCCTCCCGCTTTCTGGCAGTTCCTTCCCCAGTCTTAGTTTCGTCTCATGCATGGGCAGATCACTACTCAGCCAAAGACGTGAGGAGAACTCTTTTCCTATTTCTGAAATTTTTCTGTGTAGGTCCCTCCTCTCTGATGTTCTACCCTGTAAGTTACAGCCTCTTTGGGCTCCCTGAACTCTGATTTCTATCTCCCCATCTCAGAAAGCTGGACTTCGTGTGGGTTTCCCTCTCCCTGAACTGTGACCCAAAAACTTCCCTTAGCACTAAACTGGAGTAATTGTGGGGCTCACCTTGTGTTTTTCCTCTTTCAAAGATTACAGTACTGGGCTCCCTGTTGTTCAATGTCTGGAAACAGTTGTTTCATATATTTGCATATTTTTTAGTTGTTAACAGCAGAAGCATTGATTTAATTTTCATAAGTTAATCTTTCGTGAACAAACTTGAGTTTTACTTTGCTCACCTTTTTTTCATAAGGAACTTATACCATTTATAAACAGTAATGAATGAAGGATTGAATAAATGATGTTAAGCTTCACCAACCTTTGCTCCTTCAGTATGTATCCTTCACTTTATTCTATTACCCTCACAGCATCAATTCTCAATCATTTTTGGTTCACAAGCCATACTAAAAATTTAATATTTAATATAATTATTGGCAATACACTCAAAGAAATTAAAAACAACAGAAACTGGTCAATAATGATCACAGCACAATCACTAGTCTAGTTTACTAACGTCCTTTAAGGTCTATAAAAGCAGCTATTGATCACTTATCATCTTTCAGTGCTGTGTTGTTGTAAGAATGATCAATTTCCCTAGCTGCAACAAAGCTGTTATTTTTTAAATGCATTAGTGTGCTAGAATTATGGATGATTAGAAAAAAATGTAAGCTTCCTATTATAATGGTAATATGTACATATTGTCACATTTTTGAAAAATATAAAAAATCAAAAAGATTTTGTAAAAACAATCCATATTTCTACCACCTAAGGACAACACTGTTAATAATGCTTTCCAGCCTTGTTACTGCATACCTGTGAAGCCAGAATGAGAGAAAGTGCAGCCCAGGTGTGAATGGAGCACTGCCCAGATGTGCCTCACTGTTGCATGTGCTTGTGTAACTGTTCATGGCAGGATATCATGGATCTGGAATCTAAGAAAGAGCAATGAAAATACATCACCTTCCTAATCAACAGCATATGTTTAAGCAATTCCCAGGTGAGGGCCGTGCAGTGCTCAGTAGTATCCAGTCTTGTGTTCAAGGTTAATAGTCCTGGGTTCTGCCACTTAATAGTTCTGATTGTGGATGAGTCACTTGACCTTTTGAACCCATTTCCTCCTCCATAAACTGAGATTGATAACTGTACCTTCCTCCCAAGATACTTGTGAGGATTAAACACGATGATCCACAAGTAGTTAATGTTGCCTGGCCTACAGTAGGTTTTTATCAATATTAGGTAATAATATATATGCTGGGATAATAATATTAACAGCTTAAAATTATAGCTATCATTTCTTGAGCCCTTACACTCCTAAAGCCTTGTGTAGACTACTTCACGCAATCCTTACCATAATCCAGTGAGGTAAAATGGATTTTCATTTTGCAGATGAGAAAACTGAGATTCAGAAGGGTTAAGTGACTTACTCAAGGTCACACTAGAAGAGGTGGAATCAGGCTTTGAACCCAGGAAGTCTGCCTTCTGCTTGCTCTTAACCACTACAGTAACCTCTAAGGCAGCATACGCTAAATGTTAACATGTTAAAATTTGACATTTACCACCCCTGAGTGTGTGTGGTTGGTGTCTTAAAAGTTAGGATATTGCATAGACTTTTCAAATGTAAAGCAAATATTTGAGGCTGTCTTGAATTTTCACAGAATTCTGGGGTTCCCTAGAATGCAGTTTGAAAATTCCTGAGGCAGTTCATTTTTGCATAGTTCTAATTGTTAGAAAATTCCTGCCTATATCAAAGCTGATCTCTCTCTCTCTTTTTTTTTTTTTACCTTTCCTAATTTCAACCCTTTAAATCTGCTCAGAATGTCTTCTCTTCCACATTAGTGAGTTTCGAAATGCAGGTCATAGCTGGTAGTCTTTTGTGAAGTTTTTGTGTTATGTGCATATGTGTGTGTGTGTGTGTGTGTGTGTGTGTGTGTGCTGGGTCACAATAAAAAATGCATTTCTTACCACGCGTCACATTTGAAAAGTTTGAAAGCCACTATGACTTTGTGAAGTATATGAAGGTAGCTGTCATATCCCACAATCTAAAGACTCATCCTCTTCTTCACAAGGGACCTCTTCAGCTTCCACAATACACTTGAAATACGGGATTCCTCCCCTCACTACACTGGGCAGCATTCTCTGGCCCTGTCACCAAATTCATCTGGGTCTCTCCTCAAACCATCTTTGGGACAACTTTCTTGACCACTCTCTCTTCAGAAGCACCACCCATCTGCCACTAGCTCCTGACCCTGCCTTATTTTTCTCAAAGCACTTTTCACTACCCAACATCATATTTTATACATATTAATTTGCTTATGATGTTCCCCAATAAAATGTTCATCACTGAATGTCCAGTCAGTTTCCTGGCCCATAGGAGTTGCCCAATAAATATTTGTGGATTGAATGAATGGATGAGTACTAGGAGTAGACCTATCTTATCAATAATGTGTATAGATGTACTCATAATACAACTCTTCCCATCAGGAGCTACATTCTATTAAGATTTAACTCACATGATTATAACTATAGGCATGTTTTAATTCTACCACCTCTAAAACCCTTTATTATTTATCTTATAGTATTATCACATATTTCACACATTCATACATGTGTATTACTGTACAGAATATACCAATTTTTCCTCACCATGTATACTGTTACCTTTATGTGAAATTTCATGGGATCTGCATGAGTAGTTTTGACTTTATGAGATCTTGATTGATTCAGTTATAAGGCCTGGATTCAGTTATATGGTGCATCTTGGAAGTATTTTGCAGTTTTCAAAGCATTCTCAGGTAAATAATTCACTTGGTATTCTTCTTAAGCTGAGAAGACCTGTCAGAGGGCTGCAAGAAACTTTAGCAGCCAACTAGTGACTTCCAGATTCCAATCACACCCTTTTCTTTTACAGATGGATAAACTGAGGCTCCAGGCAGGGAAGACGTTTGCAGAGGGACACTCAAGGAGACCGAGTGGACCTGGGATTAGAATTTAGCTATTAGCCATCCACTGCCCGGCACCAGAGCTCTCAAACGTTTGTGCACTCGCACCGCCTGGGGCAGGAGAGTCAGATGAACACGCCCCTCACCAGAGCTCTGTGGGTAAGGAACGCCCCGGTTATTATCACCATTTTTCAGGTGGGTACTCTGAGGGCACACCTCCAGGAGGAGCACCTCCAACGGCGGCTCTTCTGGCCCTCGGGGCATCACCAAACTCATGGCACCGAAATTCTGCACCCACCTGGCAAGCCGGGGTCTCATTGGGCGTCCCATGCGCTGCGCCAGGTCCTCCTCCTCACAACTCCGGGATCCGTCCCCAAACCGGGCCTGCTTCCTACCTCGTCGGGTCCCCTGGGTTGAATCTGGCCAGCTAGCCTCCTTATCGCTATGGCAACCACAGGCCTAACATTCTGGAGTCCCCTTTCTGCCCACCTCCTGATGAATCCTAGCCAATGGTGTCCTCTGTTTCTTTCGCGTGAAAAGTTACTGGCCAATGATCAGAAACATTTCAATAACCGCACGGAAGCTGCCAGAATTTTAGGGTTCGGTTTACCCACGTCAGGACCGGTGCGGAAACTTAATAGGGGTTTGTCTAGGCAACCCCTCAAAAACCTTGTGATAGGCCAAAAGCCTTAGAATTTTGCTCACTCAGAAATCCTACTTCAAGGAATAAACCTAAAAGAACTAACATTCATCCAAGCCCTGTTTTTAACCGCCAAAGAAAAAAAAGTCTGATAAGGGCAGCCATACAGTGTTCCTTGAGCCCCTCTTTATACACATCAGAGTAATCACAGTGATCTTGTCACTCCCCTGCTTAGAATCCTCTAAGGGCTCCCCTTTAAACTTAGGATGAAATCCAAACATCTACATATAAGCTACCCCTGACCCGTCCCTCCGATCGCAGTTCCTACTCCCACGCCACAGAAAAATCTCGCACCAGCTGCGCTGTCCTTTGGGTAGTTCCTACAACACGGCAACCTCGTTTTGCTCTCCGGTGCTCCCTCTGAGCTCGCTTGTCGTCAGGGTCTGAACCACAACTAGCTTTTTCTCATCATCGAGGTCTCTGTCCAAATGTCATGTCTTCATCTGTAAAATGGGCGTGAGCCCTGTGTCTCACTGAGAGGGTGGTTGAGAGGATCTGAAATAAAATGCACGTGAATGAAGAGGCAGAAGCCCCATGCACGTATTATTTTTTGATCCAACCCATTTAAAATTTTTTAATTTAATTTTTAAATTGAAGTATAATTGCTGTACATTATATGTTACGTGGTACAGTATAGAGATTCACAATTTTTGAAGGTTATACTCCATTTATAGTTATTTAGTTTTTATAGTTTATTTATGGTTATTATAAAATATTGACTATATTCCCCTTATTGTATAGTAAGTGTATCCTTGTAGCAATTATAATTATTACAGTTGCACATTATGGAAGCAGTCACCAAGTGCTAGGCTTATTGGAGGACCTTAAGTATCGCTGAACTGCGGGCGTACTGGGAGGGCTGGTATATAGTGCTGCTAACAAGTGTTACAGGAGGGCGGGCAAGGATTTGTATGTCCCCGTGGCTTTAGGGGGGAACTGGGCCTTGAAGAAAGAAGTGTAGGGTATCTGGTGAGAGCGTGGGGTGAGGGAACAGCAGGAGTAAAGCAAAGGCCCGGCGGTGGCTCTGAGGATAAGGAGGGAGGACACCCGGCAGGCTGCCCACTTGTAGGGCGGGTGGAATGAGAGTCACCTGAGCTCTCCAGACAGAGTCGGGGAGCAGGGTTTTGTTCGGACGTCCTGCCTGTGGCCGCTAGAGGGGACCTTCTCCAGGTGAGCGCATAGCTTCTGCCGGGCGCCGCCTCCCCAAGGCTCTCCCACTACGCTTCAAGCAAGCTTCGCCGCCCAGCCAACGCCTGAGGGAATGTCCCGCCCACCCACCTCTTCGCAGCCACTAGGCTGCGCAAACTGCCCGCCAGCTTTTGACTGGCATGCAATCTGGCAAATCAAATCGAGGCCATTGGAAGCAACACACTGCAGCAGTCCGGCAGCTCTAGTTCGGGAAGGACTTTAGGAGGCTGTGCCTCCGGGTTGCACGAAGAGTCCAAGTCATTTCTCAGAAACCTCTGATAGGTGGGTCTTAGCGGAAACGCCGCCGGTGAGTAGTGATTGAGACTGATGGGCGCGGTTGAGGGGGACTGAGGGTGGCTTGAATTCAGTCTTCGTTTCAGGAAAACCGAATGCATTTGTAATAATCTATCGTTCCCTAGTATAAATATCTTCCTTCTCGCTCTCAACAGGCTTGTCAGTTTGGGTCTCGTTGCCTCAGAATGCTTTTTCCATGTTCGCATCGCGGAGGGGGTCATGGGTTTCCCTTAATAATGGCGATGCTAGGTAGGCTTCACCAAATCAGGAAGTGAAATGGAGTAACTTCGCCAAGATTGTTCCTCTACACGCCGGCCTGGGCTTCTGGCGGCGATGGCAGATGGTGGAGTTAGCAGGTGGGATGAGGGGAGGCATCCTTGAACTATGCTGGCCGCTGGAAGTTGTAGTTTCCAGCGCACTGGGTGGGGACAAAGAGTGTAACCCTTTAGCGAGCCAAAGCCCAGGAAAGGGAAAGCGCTTGGTACATAAATGGCACTCACAAGCCAGAAACTGAATTGTCAGGTAGTGAGAATGGGCGTGTTTTATTTATTTTTTCAGATACAGTCAAATTCTAACACAGACCCTACTCTTTGCAGCCATGATGAGTCTGCTCTGTAGGTTGGTGAAGTAATTCATTGAGATGAGGGGTGGAGAGTGGAGTGGAAGTCATCACCTAGTGAATTATTTTTCGGTTTTGGTCAGTGACCCTGTGCTCACTAGTGGCTGTGAGGGTATCAAAATTAAAGGATGCCTTGCAACCTAAAGTTGGCTACTTGCTTCTAGGGCATATGTTAATCCTGGAAGAAGTGTTCTGAAGTCAGGAAAAGAAGGAGTCAGTAGGCGAAGAATGTGTGCCTTATAAGGGAGGATAACTTGCAAAGAGTTTCTCCAAGGCTTTTAGTCGAAACTCCTACCCAGCTGAGGGAGAACTTTCTGTCTTTGCAGGTAATGATGCCTGTCTGGGGGTTCCTGAGGCAGAGAGGGAAGCTTGCTTTTCAAAAGCCAATTAAATGAAAGCAAACACAACCACCACAACCACCAAAGGAAAGCAAAAGCAGAAACCCACCTAGAGAAACCAACTGATCCAAAGGAGGTTAGGGGGCCTGGATTCCCATCACCTTCTTGGCCAATCCCTGAGCTTTTTCTGATGTGCTGTGGGTAGGGCTGGCTATGTCGGTGGTGTCTCTGGAGTTGGGGTTGATTTGATCTGAGTAAGCCATTCTATTCTTTTTTTAAATGAAGGTAATGGGGATTGAAACCAGGACCTCATGCATGCTAAGCATGCACTCTACCACTGAGCTCTAACCCTTCCCCACTCCACCCCTGCATTTTATTCTTGAATGTGGAGCAGCGCAGTGCACCAGGTGCTTCACAGGCCTGTCTTTTAGCTGGTCATTAGGTATGTATGGAGGTCACCATGCCAGGCTCTGGGCTAGATCTCAGGAGGGAGCAACTGAACAGGGAATTCAGCAAGCAGCTTCCCAGAGTTTGTGCTGTAGTGTCTCTTCACCTCTAGGTTGAAAGCCTCTAAGAGTCTCTGAGAGATAGAGAGAGCCCTGAGTCACTCTTTCTTTCTAAGGCTATTATATTAATAATATTGAAATAGGGATACCCAAATTTAATACAATAATGCTTTTCACACATGCATAAAAGTATAGTGAAGAATAATTATGCTTTTCAAAAGACTACAAATATTCATAGGGCTTTACAGTCAGGGAGGTCTGGTTATGGGATGTGAGTTATAATGTTGTCTGATGAGTGTACCTCATGTATATATACAGAATGTATAACCTCATTTGGAGGCAGCAGTAGTAATTTAATTTTGAGGCCCTTATGACAATGTGAGACCTGGGCTTAATGGTCTTCATGCTGCCCCTGCACTAAACCCTGCTTCTGATGTCTCTTAGATGCTGGACATGGTGTTAACCCTATAGCATATGACTGTGCTATTCACACCAGGACTCAGAATTCCTGGGCCTAGGGCTAGATAAGACAAGGAACTGGAAGCTACAGGAAAGACAGGAGGCAGCTTTCTGAAGCCTGGCAGAAACTTTGGCACGTAATACACTCTCAGATATTTGTTGCTTGAATGCATGAGAAAAAGAAAGGAATATTCATGGGTATATTAAAGAATTAAACTGATAAGAATAAAATTAATACTAATAATAACTGAAATTCATTGACCATTTGCTGTACGTGCATTTTCCATGCATTATTTCACCAAATTCTCAAACATGGGAGCAGAATATCCATATTTTAGAGTAAACTGGCTGAAAAGTTAAACAACTTGGCCAAGGTCAAACAGGTAGCAGGTCAAAAGCAATTTTAAATATTTTTATATTCAAATGAACATAGGCTTTGCAGGAAAATCCACATTTATATGATTTAAAAAAAAAATAACAAGACCTCAAAGAAACCCTTAGCACTGCAGTAAGGTGTTGTGGCCATGCCTCCCAGAACACTAGGGGCATACTCTCTCTTTCTTCTCTATTTGGTGGAAAAGCTTGAGATGCCCTGAAAATATCAGTCCAATGAAGTTAACGGGAATTACCATCATTGCTGATTTTACTTGAGGCCACATTATTATCTGTACTCTGCAGATGAGGCAGCTAAGACTCCCAGAGGCAAAATGATCTGGTCACTTAGGTCTTCCCCATCCCGGTCCAGTGCTGGGCTGACCTCAGGAGCAGGCTAATTCTTCCATCTTCCATGGACATAACTTTTCTTCTCTTTCTTTCCTAAGTCGGAAAGCAGATGGTTCTATTTTTACGGTAGTGGAATGTTTTTTTTTTGGTGGGGGGAGTCCTGGAGAAGTAGATGTAGGCAGTGTTATACTTCTTATGTAGGGGAGCCTATGGAAAGGTAAGATTTAAATTAGGATATGATGGGAGAAAGGAAGCAAAGGTGGAGAGGAAAGGGGATTTTTAAAAACTTTTTATTTATTTTTAACACCTTTATTTTGGTATGGTTCCTGTACAGTTCCTGTACAGTACACATATTTCAGATGTACACTTTGATGACTTTTGATAGATGTATATACCAATGAAACCACTACCACAATCAAGATAGCTAACATTTCCATCACTCTCCAAGAGGTGCAGTTTTCAAATTTCCAGTTTATCCCTTCCCACCCCCTTTACCTGCTGGTGACTCTAAGTTTGTTCTCTATGTCTGTGAGTCTGTTTCTGTTTTGTAGATTAGTTTGTGTCCTTTTTTTTTTAGATTCCACATATAAGTGATATCATATGGTGTTTTTCTTTCTCTTTCTGGCTGACTTCACATAGAATGACAATCTCCAGGTCCATCCATGTTGCTGCAAATGGCATTTTATCAAAAGGGGATTTTTTAAGGGCCAGGGAAAAGGTTTTGAGGTAGATGAGCCGTATCTTTATGAAGTGGCCAAAGGCATGATACAGTTTTTCAAATGGGCTCACTTCCCATAGCAGTCTGTGTTTTGTCCTAACAGTATCCTCTTCTCGGGTGACAGAGCTGCGCTTAGTGTTTCACTGTTCATGCGTTTTTAATGTTCTTCCCCTCCCGCTAGAGCACCGCATGAATCAGGAGACCCATCCCCGGCTGACTGCCTGGGAAGAGATGTAGAAATTGGCACGTCGCTGAGTGAAGATGAGGAAGAGGCTGTAAATCGACCAAAAGAGCCCTGAAGTGCTCTTTCGGCGTGAGAAGGCGATGGCTGGTGGAAGGCGGGTGACCAGCACAAGGAAAGATGCCTTAGCAGCAGCTCCAGAGATCGAGCCAGGCCAGGTGGGATGCACCAAGACCACCATGGACGGAGCCCACAGCGCAGCCCTGCAGCTGCAGCAGCTTCCTCCCACTAGCAGTGCCGACTCCGCGAGCGAGGCTTCATTCTCCTATAAGGCAAGACCTTTTATTTGGAGGTTTGGGAATTTTGCATTTTTCTAACAAGAAAGTAACATGGTGCAGCACTGGCTAACAGATATGTCCAGGGTCCGCATGCCTATCGCTGGCAGAAACCAGCAGGCCCTCCATACGGAGGAGAAACTGTGTAATCAGAAGAAAAATTGTCATTAAAATATGTAAAAATAGAAAAGCAGAGAAATATTTTCAAAGAAATTCATTCCCACTTAGAAGATTTGATTTTTTTTTTAAATTATCTGCTCCATTACTCAAAGACAGCCTTTTTTCATATTTCAGTACATTTCCTTCCTGTCTCTTCTGTTATTACAAATCTGGGATCAGATTAGACAGAAAGTTTTATATCTTGGTTGTTTCACTTAACCTTGTTTGAGGAATATTACCCCATGCCACTGAGTAGTGTTGGAAAGCGTGCTTTCTGAATGATTGCCCAATAATCTATTGAGCTTCTGTATCAAAATTTGCTGGACGGTTTAGGTTGTTTCCAATCTGGGGTGACTAAACAATGCTGCAGTGAACAGCTCAGAGTGCATGACCCCTTTGCTATCTTTAAGAATTGGGCAGCCCTGGGAGAGGCAGTCTCTCCCCAGCCAGCAAGGTCACTAATGCCAGAGCATTGAGAATACAGAAAATAGGAAAATATACTTAATAGAGTTGTCCCTGAGGTGAACGAATGCCAAATAAATAAAGACAGAATCTAGGAAAACTCAGAACACTCTCTCTGATGAGGTTTCTAATAAGTTTCCATTTTAATCACAAATTTAACTCAGTTACTTATTACAGAAATATCTTCGTGCCATAACAAAGATAAATAAGTCACAGAGACTCTACCAAAGAGCCTAAGAATTGAGGTGGCAGACGGGCATGGGAACAGAGGCAGACGAGCTGACCTAGGTACCAGGCGGGATAAAGGGAAATCCCTACTCTGCTCCTCCTTAGCTAAGTGACCTTGGCTACATGGTTTAGCTAATCCTCGGAGCTTCTGTTACGGGTAGAACGGTGGTAGTAATACCTCCCTCCATCCTTCATGCCTCCATGGCTGCATGGATCAGTGAAAAAGCACCTAGCCCCGCGCTAGGCGTGCGGGAGGGGCTTGACTCAGGCTTGACTCTGAAGGGTCTCGTGGTTACAAACAGGAGCAGATGAAGGTGCACAGAGCAGAGGAAAGAGGAGTTAATTTTACCTGGGGATAGGGGAAGGAGTTTCTAAAGGGAAGCTATCTCCTTCCTCCTTGATTTTGTTAAGGCTATTTTGGCTGCAAGGAATAAAAATCCATTTCAGAGAAACTGAAGCATAAGGAAAAACTATGAAAAGGCTACAGGGTAGCTCATAGAACCAAGGGCAGGGAAGGCAGTGGGCCGCCAAAGCTGCTAGAACTCTTACCCCACCTTCAAAAGAAGAAGGATCTGATTGGCCCAGCGTGGGTCAGGTGTCTACATTGGTCCAATCAGTGGTGGCTGGGGGTGGAGTCCTCCAGCAAACCTGGCTCCTCCGCCGTCACACTGTGGGCCTCTCTGAGAAAGGTGGTCCCGTGGGCTGGGCAGGCTGCCGCAAAGTCATCTCTTACCTCTGGGGAGAACATTAAGAGGCCCCAAGTCCAGCTTCATCAGGGAGGGTTGAAGTTAGAAAACAAGAATTCTGTGGTGAGTTGCAGCGCTGCCCTCTGCCCTACCCGGGATGGAGTGGATCCTGGTTGTTGAGGGTGGGTGGTCTGTGAAAGACAGACAACAGCCTGAGCTGCCCAGGAGGCAGCATCCTCGCGGGCCCCTGACTGGAGGCTTTGCCTCAGCCTGCAAGAGTCAGGCGTCAGTTTCTTCTATTTGGCAATAAGCATTTCAGCTGAGCACCTGCTGTTCCATGCCTGTGCTGGGTGGGGCGGGAGCTATAAAGATAATTGAGATATCTCCTCCTTGAAGGAGTCTAGGAGGGAGGTGGGGAAGCCATGTCCACAAGTATCTGCCTCCCAAGACAGAATCTGGCACAAAAAGAGAGATAAGCAGGGTGTTAAGAGCACGGCCTTTGGAACTGGGGAGACCTGGCTTCCAGCCCCAGCTCTGTCACTTCATAGCATTGTAACTTGGGGAAAGCCATGTAATTCCTTCACAGGTCAGTATTAAATCCATCCTACAGGGTGGGTACGAGGATGACCTGAATTTACATTGCAAATAAGGAAACTGGAGCTGCCTGCACCAGCACCTGATTTCTACCTGTGGAAATCCTACCCACCCTTCCAGCTCCAGCTCAAATATCACCTTTTCCATGAAGCCTTTGTCAGCCTTCCTAGCAGGAAAATAGAGGTCCTTTATCCACAGTTCCATAGCCAGGTCACAATTACTGTAGGAATTATCCTCATCACAGTGGCAGCTAACATTTGCTGTGTTTACTATGACAGGGACTGTGTTAATTCTCACGAAAGTCTCATAAGGTAGGTACTATTGTATCCCCATTTCACATATGAGGAAACTGGAACAGAGAGGTTAGTTAACTTGCCCAAGGCCACACAGTCAGTAAGTAGTAAAGCTGGGATTTGAATCAAGTCTGCGCACTGCTAAAGCCCTCGGTCTTACCCACCACTTCCTCCTGCCTGTGCTGTGCCAGGCACTCTGTGAGGCCCCTTCTCTCCCTGACACTGGTTATTAAGTGTTGAAATGGCAATCGTGGAGAAGGTAAATGTCATAGAGCTGGCCTGAAGCCAGGTTACAGGTGTAGCAGAGGCTGTTAGCCAGCCTGCTGTATCCCTTGTTTTTAAATGTGAGTAACCCTCAGCGTGAGCCAGAATGCAGGGTATACTTAACTGTTAGCAGTTTTAAGCCCAAGGGACTGTGGGAGGTCAGTTTCAATAGCAAGTGATGACAGTCTTGTCACCATAGTATTTCAGTAGAGGCTGTTGTCTGCAGATGTAAAGCAGACATTGGATCAGGAGACCTGCTGAGGTTTTACTTGGGTACCCATGTCCAAGCAAGGTTTCCTGCCTCTGTGACCTTTGGCTGCTTTTCTGGGAATAGTTTCTTTTCTTTCAGAATTGTAATTGGTGAAAGATCAATTCTTGGATCAGAGAATATCAGAGCCAGGAAGGTCCTTATCAGGGTTGCTGATAATAATGATGATGATAAAAATGAAAATTATAAAAATAATAATAGCAGCTAGAATTATTTTAATATTTATTATATGTCAGGTGATGTTTCAACACGTCCCTTACTTCCTAAAACATGACAGTCCTGCGAGGGTTTACAGGTCAGCTCCATCTTTCAGAGAGGAAACTGAGGCTCAGAGAGTGAAAGTAATTCCCCTGAAGTCATACAGCAGTAAGTGGCAGTGGCAGGACCGAGTTAAGAAAGCTCCCAGCGGTGGCCCACGGTGGAGGCACCTCGAACTGCCTTTCTCTTCCCTCCCTGCCAGCAGACCTGGATGCCACCATTTTACAGTTTCCAATGCTGACGTCTGGAGGAGGACCTTAATGTCAGGGGCCCGGCTGGTTGTCACCTCAGCTCTGAATTGCCCTTGAGGGTGGTTACTAGGTGTGTGTTCACACCATGTAACCCCTGGGCCACTGGCCACTTCTTTGCTTGACTTTAAATGCTCATAAAATTGAACCAGTCACAATTTCACAACTGTGTGGGGCATAATTAGCATTGATAAAGTCGTTTGAAACCCTTGGATGAAAGGGCATTAAGTTATATTGCACTGTTGCTAACCGTGTCTGTGTAGCCAGTTATTATGTGTGGAGATTAATGTGCTTGTGGAAATGGCTTTTTAAAAAAACCGCGGCTGCCTGTGTCATTAGTGGGAATGTAGCATTTACAAGGTGGGGGTCTTTTTTTTCCCAATTTTATTTTGCTGCCTTTGAAGGACACCTCAGAGAGCTCAACAGGAGACAGTGTGGAGGAGTGATTCTCATTAGGAGACTGGAAGTCAGACCTCTAGCTCCAAATTCTCCAGTCCTCACCTCGGGCAGGTTATTTCACTTCTCTGAGCCTTCCTTTGTTCATCTCTAAACTACTTCCAGCTTCTGTGCTAAATAGGGCTCATAGTATTACCCACTTTATGGGGCTGTTTGTGGCCCAAAGGTGATGCACAGAAAGGGCTTTGTGCAAAGGGTTATATGCCTCACACACACACACACACATATATATAGTACAGATTATATAAATGCTCCATAAACATCAGACTTTATTATTATAGTAACCTTTTAACCTTGTTTTTGATGCTCATACTGGCTTATCCTTGTGCATTGCACAATTTTCATTTCCAGGTTCCACCCCTCCACAGCCTCCTCCCTGAAACAGTATTGACTTGTCTGTAGTTACAGCTGTTTGTTTCTCCTCTTCATCTCTTTACCTCCTCTTGGTGAGCTATTAACAACACTGTCAACCTAAATAAACCTGGTAGGCAATAATCAAGCCAGAAGAGTTCATTTGGGATCAAAGAATTGCATGCAGTTCGGGGGCACATAGAGTCTTGGGTGTCAACCCAATCAGCATCCTGTTAGGGAGTAAAAGTCTGGGGCTCTTAAAGGTGAAGAAGGGAGGCTTGCGTTACAAGGAATTTTAGTTGGCATTGGAGGCAGAAGGATTGAGTGCTAAGGCCATCACTGCGGGGGAGGGGGTGTCCGTTACTGTGACAAGCTGCCAGTGGTCTTGTAGAGTCCTTGGAATATTCGTGGTTTTGCTCAATTCAGAAGTTCGTGGTTCCTTCTGAGGAGGGTGTATATAAGGCCTCCTAGCTCCATTTTAAAACCCCTTGACTTAAATGACTCCATCTTAATGTCACATTTTGCAACGCATTTTCCAGCAGCCTCGTGGATTTAGTCCCATCAGAGGACAGCTTGATCTCTCTGGGTAAAGATAATATAGCAGCTACCAGTTATAGGTTGAACCAAATGAAACCAGCACTTTTGTAGGTCAAAACTGGTTGGATGTTGGCAGTTTCCTATTGTTCACCCCATTTCTAAGTTACTGAATTCAGTGTTTCTCCCAAACGAT